TCTGCCTTAGTTACCGAGCTTGTCGACTTCGCTGCTCACTGTCGTCTAGACTACACCGCTAGTCTTGTTGCTGCGTCTGCGTCTGTCTGTCCTCCGTCCGTTGGGGGTGAGTGTGCTCTTAGCACGGACGTCCTTGAGGACCGACAGGAGGAGTTCCAGTGTTTTGCTGCTGCTTTACCTCATCTCGTGTCCACGCTGCTTGCCCCTGAGGGAGACCCGGATGCACCAGACATCCCGACCCCGCGCTCTTACGCAGAGGCAATAGAGGGTCCTTACTCCTCTCAGTGGCAGGCAGCCATGGACGCAGAGATGGCTTCCTGGAAGTCCACAGGCACCTACGTCGACGAGGTTCCCCCACCTGGGGCGAACATCGTCAGTGGCATGTGGATTTTCAGGGTGAAGCGGCCGCCGGGTTCTCCGCCTGTCTTCAAGGCGCGTTACGTGGCTCGAGGCTTCAGTCAGCGGCAGGGAGTTGACTACTTTCAGACCTTCTCCCCGACCCCGAAGATGACCACTCTTCGGGTTCTGCTGCACGTTGCTGCTCAGCGTGACTACGAGCTTCACTCCCTTGACTTCAGCACTGCTTTCCTACAGGGCAGTCTGCACGAGGAGATCTGGCTGCGCCGCCCACCTGGCTTCACTGGGTCGTTTCCTCCTGGTACCCAGTGGAGCCTCCGGCGGCCAGTCTACGGTCTCCGCCAGGCGCCACGTGAGTGGCACGACACACTGAGGACTACGCTTGCGGCTCTTGGGTTTGCTCCTTCCACTGCTGACCCGTCGCTGTTTTTTCGCACCGACACTTTGCTGCCGCCGTTCTACATCCTCGTGTACGTCGACGACTTGGTGTTTGCTACAGCTGACACTGCTGGACTCGCCCACGTGAAGTCCGAGCTGCAGAAGAGACACACGTGCACAGACCTGGGTGAACTGCGCAGCTATCTTGGCTTGCAGATCACCCGGGACAGAGCACGGCGCACCATTACTCTGACTCAGTCACACATGGTGCAGCAGGTCCTTCAGCTCTTCGACTTCACGTACTCCTCGCCTCAGGCCACTCCTCTGTCTACTCGCCACTCGCTCTCAGCTCTGCCTTCGGATGAGTCCGTAGAGCCGAGTGGACTGTACCCAGAGCTTGTTGGCTGCCTCATGTACCTGATGACCTGCACTCGACCTGACCTAGCATACCCTCTGAGCATCTTGGCACGCTATGTTGCTCCTGGGAGACACCGACCAGAGCACATGGCTGCAGCGAAGAGGGTGTTGCGCTACTTGTGCAGTACTTCGGGCTTGGGGCTAGTGCTTGGAGGGCGGAGTCCAGTGGTCCTTACTGGTCACGCAGACGCGTCTTGGGTTGACGACCTGGCTACTCAGCGGTCGTCACAGGGTTACACCTTCAGCCTTGGTTCCGGCTCTGTTTCGTGGCGGTCTACTCGCTCGTCTTCTGTTCTCAGCTCCAGCTGTGAGGCTGAGATCTACGCAGGGGCCATGGCTGCACAGGAGTTACGCTGGCTCACCTACTTGCTGACTGACCTGGGAGAGCCGCCTCGTTCTCCTCCAGTTCTGTACGTAGACAACAAGGCTATGCTGGCCTTGTGTCGGGAGCACAGACTGGAGCACAGAACAAAGCACATTGCTCTTCGCTACTTCCTTGCTCGTGAGCTGCAGCAGCGTGGTCAGCTGCGCCTTGCTTACGTGGCCTCTCAGGCCAACACTGCTGATATCTTTACCAAGGCACTTCAGCCTTGTGATCATCAGCGCTTCTGTACTATGCTAGATCTTGTGCCTACTTGGCCTCACTTGCTTACCTCTTGACTTTCCTTGTACTGTGATCTATATATACCTGCACTTGCTTGTTTACCTTTATATATGAACTTGCATGTGAACTGGCCTTGTGGCCTTTGAACCGGTGCTCAGACTGTGTGGTGACGTTGTGATCCACCCTGAGCTTGCTTTGCTTTGCTTTGCTTGACTGGTCTTGTGACCCCTAGTTCTCCCCCACTTTGCCTATGGGGGTGTGTCAGATGTATATGCCTTAGCCTATGTAGGCTGTAGTGGGGTAGACACTAAGGGGTACAGGTTTCATATTTGTATCTCACACTTTCCTAGTTCATTCATTCCTGTTTAATTCTTCACAGCTTCATGTCCCTCGAGTAGATCAGGATGTCGTCCAGGTACACCACCACGCATTCGTCGAGTAGAGGCCTAAGAATATGGTTCATTTCGGCCTCAAATGTAGCGGGTGCGTTGGTGAGTCCGAACGGCATGACGAGGTACTCGTAGGATCCGTATCGTGTCCGAAACGCTGTCTTATGGATGGAGTTATCCGCCATCCGGATCTGCCAATATCCCGATCTCAAATCGAGTTTTGAGAATATCGTGGCTCCACGAAGCTGGTCAAGTAGATCGTCGATCCGTGGAATCGGATACTTGTTCTTGATCGTCTGCTTGTTGAGGGCTCGGTAGTCGATGCATATGCGTAAGCTTCCGTCAGGTTTTGGTGTGAAAAGCACTGGTGCACCGTATGGTGATGTTGATGGTCGAATGAGTCCTTTGTCCAGAAGGTACTCGATCTGCTTCTTCATGTCGGCCAACTCGGTAGGGCTGAGTCGATATGGTGCTCGGAAGGTCGGTTTTGAACCAGGTTCTTCGATGATCTCGTGCTGGTGGGTTCGGTATGGCGGCAACTGGTCTGGAAGGTCGTCAGGGAGAACGTCTTCGAACTCTTCTAGAAGTTTCTGGATTGCTGGTGGAAGCTCGAGCGTTTTTCTCTCTCATTCGTCCTCGTTGGTAACCAGTGCAACAAACCCTGCCATGGTTCGCTTCACGTCCTTCTCGAAGCGTGCGAGAGTCTCCTCCAGAATATCTCCCGTGTTGCTCCAATTCGGAAGAGGACTTCTTCTGTCTTGATTGTAAATACTCGCCGTGCGGGTGACCCAGTTGATCTCGGGGTTGAACTTCTTCAGAAAATCTCTCCCAAGAATCAAGTCTAGCCCTTTGATGTTGGTGACGGGTAGGGTCGGTTTCCAGCGAAGATGTAACGCTGCTTCGCCGTAGACGTGTAATTTGCTTCCGTCAACCATCGTAGCTGTGAAGTTTGAAGGCGTGTACTTCTCATTGATGCGTTCGAGGGTTGCTTTGTCGCATACTGAATGGGATGCTCCGCTGTCCACGAGTGCTTGGAGGCGTCGTCCATTGCAGATCACCTCGAGCAAAAGTGGTTGGCGTTGCTCGTTGTACCCGTTGATCGTCTCGTTGATTGGATCATAGGGCATTTCCCATAGCTCTGTGTTTTCTCCTGGGGTGGCAGATGGCCAGTCCTGCCGTTCCCTATTGCCATGATTTTTTGTTGTTGTCGACGACGTGGTTCTCGAGCTCGTAGTAGAATTCATAGATGGGGTAGATATCGTAGATGTTTCAGATGTTGCAGATGCAACTATAGAGGAGGTTTGAGGTCGTCGCAGCTTCATGTTGACCTCCAGCTCCCTCTTGAGCTGCTTCAGCGCCACCGACTTCTTCCGTGGGGACCGGTTGGTTGACGTGGGCTGGTTGTTCAGAGAGAGGACGATGTCGTCGTTGGAAGGTCGATCTTCCATGCTCCGTTGTTGGTTCCCCATGCGCAGCTGCTGTAGTTGTCGTACCGGTACATTCTTTTTCTTCTGGAGCCTCTCTCGTGATTTCAGAAAGGCCGTAGACCCAAGGGAATTTTTTCCAAGTAAAGCATCCTTGTATGATATTTTGAAGGGGTGCTTACTTTTTACAGGGCATTTTTGGAGTTGTCCGGGTCCAGCAGGGTCTTGTGGAGATTTTATTTCCCTCGGCGATTTTCCCTGGTAGAGTCCGTTCGTGGTTTGAAAAATTCACTCCACGATCCTCCAATATTCGCATTAAATCTGCTCCACTGCTGCGGTCCCTAAGCGCTGAACGTGCAGTTTTCATTTCGTCACAATCGATGAGTCGATGTTCGGGCTTGCCGTAGAAAGAACACTTAGATTTGTTCTTCTTTGGTCTTGCCTTCGCGTCGATTCGATCGAGTTCCATCGGGTCGGCGTACGTGGGGTTAGCCAAGCGTCCTCCATGTCGTCTAGCTCATCCATGAAGTCGTCGTGTTCCGATCGTGGTTACGTCGAAACGTTCCGCTGCCGAAACGACGTCGTTGTAGCTGCTCCAATTTGCGGCCGCAACATGTTGTCGTGTTTCTTTTTTCAGCCCCGCGATGAATGCTCTAATTTTTTCGCCTTCTGTGACGTCGGGGATGCGGTTGAACAACTCCTTCCGCTTATCCATTCAATTGCTGGTCCGCGCAGTAGTGTTGCTGCAAAATTAATTCTGTTTCTGTCGAGTGCTGGTGCTGTCCATCCAATGGCGGCGAAATAAATTTCGATCGCCAAAAGCCAGCGCCTAGCGTCGATTTCCCCATCAAAGGTGTTGGGGGCTCGAATTTCTTGGGCCTTGGGAAAATTTCGCGACTGCTGCGAAGTCACGATCGATTCTGCTTCTGTCGCAATTTTCGCCATGACGCGCGCTTTCACCCGAAGTCGTTCGATCCGTCGCGCGTCGGTCTCGCTACTTCTGCACCGCTCGATATAGGTCCCGACAATTCGCAATTGTCGTCCCTGTATCGCAAACGTTTTCGCCAACAATTGAACTCACGATCCTGTTCAAAAAACGCGCGAGGGGGGTTATTAAAAAAACGCGGAATCTGGTGCTTACCAGCGTCGGCGCCGAATTCGTCGCCCCCGGCGGTTTTTCGAAGCAGGAATTTCTTGAGCGCGCTGCTTAGCTGAAACTCCGCGAGTGAAAACGGCTCTGATTACCAAGTGTCACAGGATAGAATTTCCACTCGAGAATGTTGCACTTAAAGTGAGTACAAGGCGTATTTATACTCAGAAATACATAGAAACTACAGATAATCCGAACCTTCGGGAACGCGCTCTTCTAGAATAGATATCACAAGTGCGCATAAGCACGCAAGCCCATTGGCACTTCGGATTATGACGAGATTACGCCTTGTACACCACTGTCGGTGCTGTCGGTGCCGTATAATGTAAATGTCGGTGCCGAAAATACCAAATAAGTGAAATAATCGGAAAGCTCTAGAAAATAGAATAGTAGTCCGATTGAGGTGAAATAAAGTGCAAATGAAAGGGGAAAATAAGGAGAATAAGATTGAGTAAAAATATGGAAATGAGAAATGTGTCGAACGTCGGCGTACTCTCACACTTACTGTTGCCGACAGACTGATACATCAGCCCATCATTCCACGTCGGCCTGCTTCGCCCTTACATCCCAAGCACGAGCCAACTGCCTCGTCACCGCCCGCCATCCATGACTCGCCCTCCATCGGAGCCGATCATCGAGCCCGAAAAAAATCTGAGCCATCGGATTCGCCACCCCACAGGCAGCAAGAGGATCGAGTTCCTCGTTCGCTGGAAGGACCGCACGCCAACTGAGGATAGCTGGGTGCCCCTGGCCAACATCGAAAACCACCCTGCCCTGCAAGTGTACCTGAGGAGCCGGGGTTTCCGCGACATATGCGCACTCGCGTAGCGGAGGGGGCTTCTTGAGGGGGGGGGGGGGGTGGGTAGTGTAAGGAATTTTCTCGCTATTCCTTACCGCGACCGTCCACATCGCGTACAGCAGCAGCCGCTGTTCGCCCGTTACTGCTAACGGGGCTTCGCCAACTTCGCGCGCATTGTTTCACCAAACCTCGCACTGTTGGAGCAGCCGAGTCGGCCTACGCTTCGGGACTAGCCCGAACCTCGTGCCAGCGTAGCACTAGCTAGCTCGCACGCACCGCGTTACCGTTTGCACATTTCGCGTATAAGTAATCGCTCATCCCTTCGCTCACATCTTGTACTCATTGAACACTCTAGTGCAATCCTCGCTACCTCGATTAATTGCACCCGTAACAAAGGGATGGCATAAACCTGAATATCTGTGTTAGTTGATCGTTTTTACGAAGTACACTTCTAGAATCATTGGCACTCTATAAACTCAACCCGAAGTTCCAGCCACTCACCCCACCTACACCACTCAACAATAGAATGTCTCTATGTATAAAAGGGTTTAGGCTATCACACTGCACTTGTATTTGTTGTTTTATATTGCATGGTGTTGCTTGTTGCTCCGCTGGCACCAGCTTTAGCACCACCAGCACTAGCACCACCAGCCACATCAGCAATCAAGCCTGCAGCAGCAGCAGCACCACCTGGTGAGGTGGTAACCGGAGCAGAGGTTACCTTGGCAGATGTAACCGGTGCGGATGTAACCTTTGCAGATGTACCTGGTGCGGATGTAACTGGTGCAGATGTAACTGGTGCAGATGTAACTGGTGCAGAGGTAACTGGTGCAGATGTAACTGGTGCAGAGGTAACCTGTGCAGGGCTCATGGGCTTGGCACCTGAAGCAGCTGATGCTGCAGGTTTGACAGATGCAGCACCACTAACAGCACCAGCACCAACAGCAGCACCAACACCACCAACAGCACCAGCAGCACGAGCGCTAGTTGCACCACCAGCAGCACGGGCAGGAACAGCATTGGCAGACCCACCCAAAGCAGCAGCAGCAGAAGCACCGCCAGTACTCCCAGCAACAGCACCAGATGCTGGTTTGGCTGGGCTTGCAACAGCAGCAGCAGCAGCAGCAGCAGTAGCACCACCACCACCAGCAGCAGCCGCAGCAGTAGCTGGAAGAGTCTTTGGCTTACCTGCTTCTTGAGTGCCAGACACCGGCTTGGCCTGACTTGTGCCTGCCGCTGCTGCTGCTGTTGCTCCTGCGGTTGGTGAAGGAAGAACAGACGCTGCAGGCTTGGGGACTGCGGGCGCTGGCTTGGCCGAGGCTGCTGGCGTGGCTGGTGCCGAGCCTGCAACTGCACCTGAGCCCCCAGCCACCGAACCTCCAGCCCCCGATCCTGGCTTTCCTTTCATGAGCTTGGCCAATGCCTGGCTTTCAGCTTCGGAAATGGCTGAAGTGGTTGGGGTAAAATTGCGGATGGGATTAGACGTGGTGATAGGAGTAGACTTGGTGGTGATGGGGGTAGTAGTGGCAGTGGGGGTAGTCGTGGCAGTGTGGGTAGATGTGCTGCCGACGGGGGTAGATGTGCTGACAGCAGCAGGTAGGGCAACAGGCGTTGCTGGTGTGTTGCCAGCTGCTGTAGCACTGCTTGGGGGGACTGTTGCTGCTACAGCCGCTGAGAGTGGAGTGAGGTGAGGAGTGAGGAGGGCTGGCTGTGCTACAGCTGCTGCTGCAGGGGTGGCAGGCAAAGGCTGTGCCACAGCTGCTGCTGCAGGAGTGGCAGGCACCGGTTTTGCTACAGATGTTGCAGGAGTAACAGGTACCAGCTTTGCTACAGCTGCTCCTGTTGCTGAAGGGGTGGCAGGCAGTGACTGTGCTACTACTGCTGCTGCAGGACTGGCAGGCAGCGTCTTTGTTACAGCTGCTAATAGCGACGGGGATGGTAGTGCAGGGCGTGGTGTTGCTAATGGGGTTGCTGTCGTTCCTGCTACAGGCTTCACTGTTGCTGCTGACGTGGCAGGAGACACAGGTGGTGACGTGGCAGATGTGCCACCCGTCCCACGAAGCATGGTGCCACCTGCACCTACTCCCCCCCCTTCAACTACTCTCCCTTCAACTCCACCTGCTGCCGCCCCTGCTATCACTCCGGTGCCTCCTTTGCCTCCTGCTGCTGCTCCCAAAGCAACTCCACCTGATAATGCCCCTGCAATCACTCCTGATGTACCTCCTGTGGTGGCTTTGGCTGCTGTTCCCATAACACCTGCACCTGCTGCTGTCCCTGTTAATGTTCCTGTTCTGCTACCTGCAGTGACCATAGGGCTAGGAGAGAGAATGATTTTGCTGCTGGTAACCGAAGCAGAGGTAGCCGTAACAGTGGCAGGAGTGACAATAACAGGAGTAGCAGAAAGGAGAGAGGAGGCTGGCTTGGTCAGCAGATTCTGTTGCTGCGATTGTGCTTGGAGTGAAGTGGATGCTGCTGATGTGGATGTGGGCAGACCTGAGGTGGATGTAGGCAGAGATGACGAGGATCTATCCACTGCCACGTCATCAGAGGAAGGCACATCCCTCAGCAGATTCTCTGCCTCGTCCAGCCCAAGAATAGGTTCTGACGTCAAACCTGAACCTGAACCTGAACCCGAACCTGAACCTGCACCTGAAGTTGAACCTGAAATTGACTTTGGCTCAAGACCTGAACCTGATTTCAAACCTGAACCTGAACCCAGACCTGAACCTGAGAAAGACTTGGGTTGTTCCTGATCCTGTTGCAGTGCTTGCTTCTGCTGCTGTAGCGCCTGCTGCTGCGGCATCTGCCCTTGCTGCATCTGCCTCTGCTGCATCTGCGCTTGCTGCATCTGCCCTTGCTGCATTTGCCCTTGCTGCATTTGCAAATTCGTCTGCTGCGGCAATCTAGTCCCTTCTGCTCGGCCAAGCACCTGAGACCCCACTGTCTCTCGTGCTTCCTGCACTCCTGGCAGCTGCATTGGCTGCTGATGCATTTGCTGTTGCTGCTGACCTGCCCCTTCCCGCCTGCCACCATCTGCCACAGCCGAGCCCCATTCTGATCCCTCCTTCCTGATTACACCTCCCTCACTGCCACCCAAACCGCTTCCGCCGCTGCTGCTGCTCCGGCTGGTACTGCTGATGCTGCTGCTACTGCTGCCGCTGCTGATGCCACCGCCGCTGCTCCTGATGTTGTCACTGCTGCTGCTGCTGCTGCTGCTGCTGCTGTTGCTGTCACGAATCTGGCCAGCAGTCGTCCCTCTCCTCTTCCTCCTCCTACGCACTCTCTTAGCTGCCCTCATCTCACCCTCCATTCCCCCGTCCAAATCACCTTCCCCTCCCATCCCCACACCTGCTTCCCCATCCCCGTCACCCTCCCCATCTCCATCCCCCTCCCCATCCCCCTCCCCATCCCGCTCTGTGCTTACACCCTCCTCTCCTTCTCCCTCAGCTTCCCCTGCTCTCTCCCGCTCTCTCTCCCCATCCCCCTCTTTCTCCTCCTGCTCCTCCTTCTCCTCACCCTCCTCCTTCTCCCCTCCTACGTCCCTCCCTACTCCGCCTCCCACTACCCCCTCGTCCTCCCCCTCTGCATCATCCTGCACAGCCTCCGGTCCCTGCACGTCTCCTCCTCCCACCTCACCACTAAGATCACCACCCCTGGCAGCAGCAGCAGCACCACCACCAGCACCAGCAACAGCAGTAGCACCACCAGCAGCAATTCCCGTACCAGCACCAGCACCAGAATCAGAGCCATAATCAGAACCAGAAGGTCGAGTATCAGCAGCAGCAACATGAATGCCCCCGCCTGCAGCAGCAGCAATTGCACCGCCCCCACCTGCCCCAGCCTCTTCCTCCTCCCCCTCCACTCCCCCCAGCCCTCGCAGCACCTCATCATCCTCCTCATGCCGCTTACCCTCTCCCTCTCTCTCCCCTGCGTCCCTCATTCCTGCGCCCCCTCTTACATCCCCTATGCCCGCATTCCTCTCGCCCTGTGCTTGCGCCAGTGCACTCTGTGCTCCCCCTGCTATGCCCTGTGCCTGCCCCAACACACCCTGCGCCTGCCCGGCCACACCCTGGCTTCCTCTGGAGTCAAAGTCCCCTGTAAGATCCGATACTTGCTCTCTCCCCCCTCCGACTGCAACATCCATTGCTCTTCCTGCAATATCCAGTATTCGTGCCCCTTCACTTTCCCCTCCCCCTTCCGCTCTCCCTCCCCCTACCCCTTCCCCACTCTCCCCACCTTCCACTTCTCCCTCCCCTGCCCCTTCCCCTTCATCCTTAAAAGCACCAGTCCGCACATGGTGACTCTCTGTCTCTTGATCCACTTCCACCCCATCCTCTGCCTCCCCTCCTCTCCCTCTCACACTCCCTCTCTCTCGTTCCCAACCCCCCTCTCTCTCACCCTCACCAGAAACACCTCCGCCCATCCCACCAGCCCTACCACCAGAATTACTGTACGGTAAACCCTGCGGGGTTGTTTCAGGGACGACAACTCCTTGATTCACAATCTCTCGCTCTCTCAGCAGCTGCTGCTGCTGCAGATCCTCCCCCTCAGCTCCTCCCCTCTCTTCCTCCCCCCCCTCTTCTCCCTCCCTCTCGCCTCCTCCCGTCTCTTCTGCTTCCCCCCCGTTTCCTCTCCCTTCTCTCTCCTCCCTTAACGCCTCCCCCTCTCCCTCTGGTATCTCCCCCTCCTCCTGTGCCATCTCAATATCAGAATGCCCCAACCTTCCCTCCTCCTCCTTTCTTTCGCCTTCATCCCCTTCGGCATCCCTCCCCCTCCCTCTCAACTCGTCCTCTCTCCTCTCTCCTTGCCCCTGCCTTTCAAACTGCCCCTGTCTTTCCACCCTCCCCACTCTTTCCACCTGCCCCTCTCCCCCCACTTCCTGCTCGGTTGCCCCTTCTCCATCCAGCTCCTCATCCTCTGCTGTGGACCGTTTCCCCACGAGCCTAGCTGCTGCTTCCAATACCGGATCACCTCTTAGCGAATCCGCTGGGACAATGTCACCAACGCCAGTAGAAGCTCCAATGCTTCTCAGACCACCACCACCACCATCAGAAACACCAGCACCAACAGCATAAGCACCAGCGGCGCCAGCACCAGCAGCACCAACACCATCGCTCCTAGCAATTCCAATCGCGCCCGCTCTCACACCCACCCCTCCTACGCCTCCTCTCCCCATCCCATCCTGCCCCATCCTGCCTGCAACCCTCCCCCTTCCACGAGGCCCTACCCGCCCACTCACCCGAATATCCCCGTCCTCAGTACCACCTTCCTCAGTCGCAGCCTCCCCGACTCCCTCCCTCTCCATCCCGCTTTCTCCTCTCCTCCCCACCTCCCTCTCCCTCATACCACCCCCTTGCGTTTCCTGTTCTCTCCTCGGATCTAGCAGCTGCCCTGTTCCTCCTTCCCCTGCACTCAGCAGCCCAGGAGTCTTCTGCTGCACCACGCTTGCCCCAGCGCCAGCAGCATCTGCTCTCACCACAGCAGCACCCTCCTCTTCCCTAGTTGCTAAGCCGTTGAGTAGGGATGTGTCTGGTGTGACTGGAGCGAAGGTTCCTATAGCAGAGGCAGAATCCCCACCACCACCATCAACAACACCACCATCGCCACCACCACCAACCCCACTGCTACTGCCACCGCTGCTACTGCCACCGCTGCTACCGCTGCTGCTGCTGCTGCTGCTGCTGCTGGGATCGTTGATACTAACACCAAAATCGCTGCTGCTCTCACTGCTGTTTTCACTGCCACTCACACTGCCACCGTCCCTCCTCACTCTTGACTGAGCCGAAAAGCCACCTATGAACCCCACCAGAAGCAGCAGCACCACCATCACTACAGAACTAACCAGGCAGCACAGAATCACACCTCGCCTTCTCTTCTTCCTAGATGACAATGGCACGCCAGCCCCTACCTTCCCCCCGCTCCCCATTCCCCCTCCCCCCATTCCCCCTCTCCCACCGCCCCCTGCCCCAATACCACTCCCCCTGGGTGACCCTCCCCACCCCCAGTTGCCCCCTCTGCCCGCCCCTCCCCCCGATTTACTCTCCCAGGAGGGGGACCTTCCCCCTGCCTTTGTCTCCCCCCCATCCCACGAGCCCCAGTTCCCCCAATCCCCGCTCCCCCCGCTTCCCCCCTTCACCCCAACTCCCCCTCTGTTGCCCCGCCACTCCCCATCCCCTCCCCCTCCTCCCACTCCCCTTCCCCCGTCACTGGGTCTATTTAGAGAATCAACCCCCAGTCCCCTGCCCCTCCTTCCCCTTACGTCTTCTGCCAGTCGCGCTCCAGAAGAGGACAACGAAAGCCCACCAGCGCCAGAAGAAGACAAGGCCTGCCCACCAGCGGCAGTGGGAGCTACAGGGGACAGAGACTCCCAATCCGAATTATCCCAACCTCCGCTGCTGCTACTATCGTCACTATCAACATCAGCACCACCAGCATCAGCAGCAGAAGCAGCAGCAGCAACACCAGCAGCACCACCAGCACCACCACTGGCAACACCACTGCTGCTGGAAACACCACTCTTACTGGTAACACCAGTGCTACTGCTGGTAACACCTTTTGAGGGCTTCACTGAAACAGCAGTTTCTAGCCCTAGTCCCTCCCACCCACCCGTGCTGCCCTTATCCCACTCATCTGTCTCCACCTCTGCCCCCCACCCTTCGTCCTCCTCCCCTTTATCAATCTCCCCCCATCCACCGCCCCCTTTATAACCACTCCCCCTAGTAGCACCCAGACCTGCACCAGAGGTTCGGTCACCGGAGCTGGAAGGCCGACCGGTGGAGCTGGAGGGGCGGTCAGGAGACACTCCCAAGCCTAGGATGGCTCGGCCAGTTCCCGAACCTGATCGCTTCGGAACACCGAATTCCGGACTGGCTCCTGTCCCTCCGAATCCATGTGCCTGTTGCTGATATTGCTGCTGCTGCTGCTGCTGCTGCTGCCTGGGTGGGGTTTTGAACTTCCTCTCGATAAACCCAGACAACACCCCAGTAGGCTGAGTTAGGTACTGCTTTTCAGGATCATATCTCTCCCTCTCTGGCCCGCTTTCCCTCCCTCCTGGCGGCCGGCGCGGGGGGGACGCAGCTGTAGCAGCGCGGGCGAGTTGAGCCGCTACAGCCGCAATTCCAGCAATTCCGGAGGGAAGCTTCCCGCCTGACAGCCCCGCAGCACCAAGAATGTCATCAGCGTCTTCCTTAGTGAACCAAGCAGAGGAGGAGGACGCATCAGGCTTATGCTGCTGCTGCTGCTGCTGCTGATAGCTATGGGAGCCAGAAGACGTGTAGGAGGATAGCTCGTCCGTGTCTTGTGGGAGCATGTGGGTGGGGACTGAGGGAGGTGCGGCTCTGCTCGAGGCGTGGAGGACGAGAGGCTTGGGTGAAGCGGGGCCATGCTTCGGAGAGGAGGCTCGGGGAGAGCCTGGTTGGGGGGATCTGTGAAGGGGAAGGGTTGCCGAAGCAGGAAGGGCGGTTTGGTGTGTATGCATCATCTGTGCGATAGGTATCTGTGCGGCATAAGCACGGATTCCTACGAAACGATCACAAGTACAGCCAACGGGGCTGCTAAGTTAAGATTTTGTAATCATAATTTGACTGCTACAGTAAGTGAAAATGACAAAAAGCGTTGACTCCAGTGCAAAAACGCCACACTTTAAATGAATAATGGGATCACACATGCATAGCGCAAATTACTCCGAAGAATAATGAAACAAAATCCTTTACCTAACGCTTGGCAAGCATTCTCCAAACTTGACTGACAAATTCTTCCTTACCTTGAACCTGATACGACAGGACGAGTCTGCACGAGTTTCTTCTTCTTAACGACAGCCGATCCCGTGCGATGAACCGGCGCGTCGGAGCTCGGTGCAGAGCGGTTCGCAGTGGCGTCGGATCCCGTGCGATGCACCGACCCTCCGAATTGTCGCCGATCCATGTCGTCGCGTACGACGCACTTGATCCGGCTCTCCTGCTAATCTCGCATTTAATTGGCTTCAGTATCTATTCTGAAGCTCTGGGAAACGATTCACCCGTAAAAGGTAGTTTTTTCAAGCCGTTCAACGCAGCACTCGCCTCGCATTCCCGACCGAACCATGCGTGCTCTAAGCTTCACGTGCGCATAAAAAACATTCCCAGCTGAAGGTTTCGGTCTCACAAGTCCCTACAGCCTGCCTGCAAAGGTGTTCAAAGTGCCTGTATTGCGCGACTGCATCAAAGAACAACAATGGACATGTCACATGTTGCATCACCAGCTGAAGTTGGTCAACGAAAATGGTATGGGATGGGACGCCAACGCCCAACTAAATTGGAGCAGGTTGGTGGTGGCGATGTGAGCAGAATTGTGGGGCAAGATTGAGGCAGGTGGAGGTACGGCAATCCCAAGCATGCGACCAAACCCAAGTGAACGAACGGAAAAGAAGCAACCGAGGCTGTGTCCGCGTCGTGGAGAAAACGCTGCTTTCATACACGCTATTTTACTAATCATATTTGCAACTCATGAATTCAGGTCTCAATGCAAAACAATGCAAGATCCAATGAAAAACAAAATACAAGTGCTTGGCTAAATATCCAAGCTACATTGACACGGATTGAAACTTAATAATGAAAAACATTGTTAAAGCATACATTCACTGCAAAAGGCCAATAATTATAATTGCCACGAGAAGGTGGTAACAAGTTTAGAATGATCAATCCCCCACCTCACTGCATCGCACTCGAAAGCTATTGCATTTTTTGAAACGGACATCAAACCGGTAAACGAACAATCGGGGGCGGTTGATCCTGAAATTCCTCCTGCACCAGGCACCACCAACCAACCATCCTCCACTGATTTTACCGCTGCTGGATCTCGCCATTCTCGAGGGGGGGCAGGCAAGACAGCCTTGAGATTATCCAAGAAACATTTCATCAGGCAGCAGGAGGAGCCTATCTTTGACAGGCGAGCCATTGTGTGTTGGACATTTCTCAGGCATCAGGGAGATTCTGGTTATCAGGGAGAGCCGGACGCACAATGTTGACCAGGGAGTGGCGCATCCATGAAAGCATTCGCCTTGCTTAGCAGCATTTTCCCTGAAATTTATTGTTTTAGCCACACTTTTGTAGAATCTCGGAAAATTTTGACGTTGCAGAGGCACATTCTTGTCGACATTGATCAGAATTAGGTGATGACATTTTGATAATTCGGCAACTACGAAAGTCATGGCGGAATCGGCAGGCCGCAACAAGTGGGACGGAACTGGTCCCACTCGCTCTACCACCTCCGTCTCCGATTTAATGCTTGGCGAAGTCGACCTTTCTGGTAACTCCGCTCTCCAGCGTTTCGCGGCTCTCGCGGCGGAAGAAGCGGACAGAGCGCGAGGCACGCCGCATTCCTCCATCGCCGCTGCCGCCGCCGCCGCCGCCGCTGTCACGATCATTTCAGATGTGAGATCGTTCCCGGTAATCCCGGAAGATACGGCGACTTCAGAAACCCAGTCACAGCAGCATGAGGAGCACGGGTTAGGGAAATTGCAGACGCGCAATGAGGGAGCAGGAGCATCAGGAGGATCATACCAGGAGCAAAAAGCTTTAGGTTTTGGTCCGTCAGGTCCCGCTATTCCTCCTGCTGTTCCTCCTGTTCCTGGTTCTGCTGCTGCTTCTGCTGCTGCTGCGTCCTCTGCGTCAGTTCATCCGTTACACGGCGTCGTGACTGTTCCGGACATTCCGCTTCTTTTGCTGCGGCTGATCGATGCAGCGGCTCACGAGGGCCACCCGAAGGCGCTAACGAAACTTCGCCGAATTGCAGCTGGGTTGGATACTTTGGAGAGCTTTACAAAAGGGAGGCGCGGGGAGGGGAAGGCGGGGAACGCTGAAGAGAAGACAGAAGGGGAAGAGGCCAAAGGGGTGGATACCCAAGGGGATGAAACCAAAGGCGAAGGTGTCTCTGGGGAGAAGGAGGAAGATGCAGAAGAGAAGAATGATGCTCCAGGTCACGGTGACGAATCTGATAAGGGCGAGGGAGCGAAGGAAGGCGAGGGAGGGACGGGGAGCGAGGCTCGCAAAGCAGGAGGTGATGGGGAAGCCGCGGTGGCACAGACCGGGGAGGAGCTAGGAACGTTAGGGTCGTTAGGGAAGGAGGAAACGTCGAGGCTGATTGTTGAGACTCTACTGGCGATCATGGGGGGTAGGCACGAGGAGGAGGAGATAGGCCAGGCTGGGTCAGGCAAAGGGGAGGGCGGCGAAGGAAAGGGAAGCAGAAGCAGCGGCAAGAGTAGCGGCAGCATGGGTGGCAGTAAGGGAGGCAGTGGAGGCCAGGGGTGGATGAAGGGAGGAGGGCCTGTGATCATGCTCACTCCCGAAGGTGCTAGGCTCGGCGCGTGGCTGCTGCCGTGGCTGCCATGCCACGAGCCTGCTGCTCACACTCCAGACGCTGAAACCGAACCTGCAGCTGAGAAGGCTGAGAATGCAGAGACAGTTGATAATTCTGAGACTGCTGAGAATGCTGAGAATGCAGAGACAGCTGATAAGCCTGAAACTGCTGAGAATGCGCAATCTCAGGCGATCCAGTCATCTTCAGATAGCGGCGGCGATCCTGCCACGTCAGCTGCTGAGTCACCCTCTTTCGAATCCCCCGCTGCCGACCCCCCATCGACTGACTCCTCAGATACATCTGCAGTCCCTTCCGCTATAAGCACAAGCACCACTGCTAAACCTGCCACTCAACCCGCCCCAGAGCCACCAGCTAAACTCAAACCCGCTGCTCAGCCCCAGGTGTCTCCCAGGACGCGCATGGCGTGGGGCATAGCCCGCGTGCTGCTCTCCTGCACGCGCAACCGCGCCCTGTGCGCGTCCATGGGGCTTGTGAGGGCGCTGCTGGCCGCTCTGAGGGTGATTCTCCTGGGAGGGGTGGATGCACAGGGGCTGCCGCCTGCTGCTGCTACAGCTGCCGCTCTGCTGCTGCCAGGGAGGGCAGGCACCACCAGCTTGACGAATAACGGCAGTTCTGCTACTGGTAGTGGTAACAGCACGAGCGCCGGTGCAGATGAGACAGCGTGTGAGGGTGAGTCAGCTGCAGTGGTACCAGCAGGGGTGCCAGCAGTGGTGCCGCTGTTTGGAGTGGCAGATGAAGCAGTGTGGGACTGCTCGCCTCTAGTGACCGCTCTGGAGTGCCTAGCAGCACACTCTCTCAACGTTGCTGAGCTGCAGGACTGGGTCCGATCCACCGAGGCTCTTATCCTCCCTGCTGCCCCACCTGCTACTGCTGCTGCTGCTGAGGTTTTAGACGGCCCCAGCAGCAGCCCTTGCAGCAGCAACAGTGGCATAGCTGGTAGTGGTCGTGCTGCCCTACTGCTGACAGCTTTGGAGCGTGCCATGGCTGGGGAGGAGGCTCGGGGGCCCTCCCATTCCTTCGAGCTGGATGGCCGAACCTCCGGGCTGCTAGGTCCGGGCGACAGCAAGTGGCCCTTCAGTAACGGCTACGCTGTCGCCACGTGGCTGTACGTCGAATCGTTTGTCGACACGTCAGCGTCGGCGATCACCGCAGCAGCCAAAGCAGCGGCCATTGCAGCAGCAATCACGGCAAAGGGAGGAGGGAAAGGGTCCGCTCAGGTGACTGCTGCTCAAATCGCTGCTGCTGTAGCAGCTGCTAACTCCAATATCCTCCATTTGCCTCGCCTCTACAGCTTCTTAACCATCGAGAACCACGGAATAGAGGCCTATTTTCACAAAGACACCCTCGTTGTGGAGTCTAATTGCCCCTGGACCGGCATCCGAAACGCGGTTCGTTTCCGGCACACATTCCTCCCCCGCCGCTGGTATTTCCTAGCCCTGGAACACATCTTCAAACCGTCTCTCATGGGTAAAGCAGAGAGTGAAATCCGGCTGTATGTGAACGGACGGCTGATTGAGTCCTGCCCTCTTGATTTGCCCCGAATCTCCAATCCGTTAGGGTTTCTCTGCATAGGCACCAACCCCCCTTCCGGACTGCTCTTGAACTCCTCTCAGAAACAGACAGGACCCGCCGCCCATCATCACCAGCAGCAGCAGCGGCTACAGTGCCCCCTGTTCGCCGAGCTTGGCCCGGTCTACATCTTCAAGGAGCCAATCGGAAGCGAGAGAATCGCCAGGCTGGCGGTGCGTGGGGGGGACCACCTGCCTGTGTTTGGGGCGGGTGCGGGGGCACCGGCTCACATGGGGAGTGATCTGATGATGAGAAAGGCCGAGGAGTCATGCAGTCTAGATGTGGACCTCGCACCCAGTATCCACCTCCTGTACCACCCCAAGATGCTTCTGGGAAGGTTCTGCCAGGACGCCTCGCCTGCCACTGCATCTGGTGTGTATCCCAACCCTAAATGCCCACATTTCAAGTTCCATGGTTCATCAAATCCCAAACCCTGAACCTCTTCCCATCTCAGTCAGTCTCTCTCTGGTGCCTTTCAAACAGTTTTTTGAGTCGAATGAGGAAAAGAACCCGTTTCATGTCTTTGATGTTTGAGTTGCTCTGCTCCGCTCCTTTGCTGACTTTGAAGTGAAGCTGGATGGACCCATATATGCCCAATCTCAAGACTCAAACCAGGAACCCTTTCTCACGCTCTCCCAGGCGTGCAGAGGAGGCCAGCAGAGGTGGTGGGGCAGGTGCATGTGGCAGCGAGGCGGCGAGCTGCCGATGCTCTCTGGGCCGCAGCAGAGGGCGGGCCCCTGGCCCTGCTGCCGCTGTGCATCGAAGCCTTAGACCTCCACTCCATGGCACCGCAGGTGAGCTGCTCTATAGTAGCAAGTAAGCTGGCCGAGTCACCTCGTTCAGGTGCATGTGGCAGCGAGGAAGCGATCGGCCAATGCTCTGTGGGCTGCAGCAGAAGGCGGGCCCCTGGCGCTGCTGCCCCTCTGCATAGAGGCTCTGGATCTGCACTCCATGGCACCACAGGTGAGCTGCTGTATGGTAGCACTAGCAGGCAAGCTGGCTGAGTCATTGCTTTCAGGTGCATGTGGCAGCGAGGAAGGAAGCGAGCGGCCAATGCTCTCTGGGTCGCAGCAGAAGGGGGTCCCTTGGCGCTGCTGCCCCTCTGCATAGAGGCTCTGGATCTCCACACCATGGCACCGCAGGTGAGGGCTGGCTGCTTCGTTGCTTCAAGTTACGTCGCCTCGTTTCTTTGCCACCACACATACGTCTTGTCCCTCCCGTTTCTCGTGCCCTAAAACCCTTGCCACCATCATAAGCTCGCTCGGAGTCTCCACGGCTCTCTCTCTCCGCATCTCAGCTCCTCCCTCGTGTCCTTCACTTCACTTCACTTCACTTCACTTCACTTCACTTCATTCATGCCCCGATCCCTTCCTCCCTCCCCTTCCACCCCTTGTCTTCCGTTGCAGGTTCGCTCGCCTCCTCTCTCCCTCTCCGCCTCTCAGCTTCTCCCCAACGCCCTTCGCATCATAGCCCGCTCCCTCCGCCGCCCGATGAACCGGGAAGAACTCAAAGGACCCGCGCCCGCTCTCCTCTCCCACCTCCTCCACTTCGTCCTCTCCTCGCCACCCACTCTTAACGAATCAGCTTCTAACGAATCAGCAGCTGAAGATACTAGTGGATCTATTGACAACTCCAAGGAACATTCAATGGAGAAGAGTCGAGAGCGAGAGCGAGATAGAGAGCGCGATAGGGACAAAGAGCTGGTCCACGCGTGCATGCTCCTGGCCCACATGCCCCGCCCTGGCGACCACCTGAAAAACCACCTGATGGAGCACCTGCTGCTGCACCTGCCTCTCTGGGCGCCCTCCCACCTGAGCACGCAGAGGGCTCTCCTTGCAGCCGTAGGGGACGCGGTCTCTCTGGAGCTGCAGGCTCTTCAATCAGTAGGGGCTGTATCTGTAAGTAATGTTTGGGGATGGATAGGTGTATCAATGGGTGACAGGGGGTTTGATTCACGCAGGGGGCCCTGCTTGCAGCCGTAGGGGATGCGGTCTCTCTGGAGCTGCAGGCGCTGCAGTCAGTGGGGGCTGTCTCGGTATGTATCGTTTGTGAGGGGGTACTAGTTGGAGGAGTGGGTGAGGATGGGTGTGGATGGGTGTGGAGTCGTTACTGGCAGACAGAGCCCTGCTTGCAGTTCCAGACATAGGGGATGCAGTCTCTTTGGAGCTGCAGGCACCGCAATGAGTGGGCACTGTCTCTGTAAGGCAGGGTTGGGGACAAAGGGTAGTTTAGCGAGAGAAACGGGTGAGGGGAGGGTTGAGGTGTTCACGCAGGGAGCCCTGCTTGCAGCCTTATGGGACGCGGTGTCTTTAGAGCGGCAGGCACTCCAGTCAGTGGGAGCTGTCTCGGTATGTGGGGAATCACTCTAGCCTGCTGCTACTACTAGATGCTAGACTGTCCTTTCCTTCCACTAGTCTCCCCTCCCCCTTCTGTGGGTTCCCACTGGCAGGATTTTCTTGTTTCATTTTTCTCCACTCGAGTCAGTTTCCCTCCCCCCAACCCCTTCCCCCAACCCCTTCCACCCAATCCGTCCACCCTCTTCTCAGCTACTCCTGGCTGGACGGCTGTTGTTGTTGCTACTGGATGAACTGGGAGGGAGCCCTCTCTTGAGTTTGCAGCTTCCATTCCCTCAATCTCCTTCTCCTCACACCCACCCACCCTCCTCTCAGCTCCTCCTGGCTGGACGGCTCTCACCGTTGCTACTGGATGACCTGGGAACCCTCCTGTAGCGCATTCAAGCTTTGTGCTTCCTCTCATTGACCTCCCCCACTCCTTCCCCTGCCTCCACTCGTCAGCTACTCCTAGACGGCTGCCGCCGTTGCTACTGGACGACAACATGATAAAAAAAGTGTTTTGAGACGTCTCAAAACGCTGCCGCTGTTGCTACTGGATGACCTGGAATATTTTTTTCGCGCTTCCATGATTCCCTTGACTTCCCCCATCCACCCCTTCCCTTCTCCCCCCTCCTTACCCCCACACGTCCCCCCTCCTCTCAGCTCCTTCTGGATGGCTGCCGCCGCTGCTACTGGATGACCTGGGAACCCTCCTCTGTGCGCCTCTGCACCGCCAGCTGGCATCCTACCCGCCCGGCTGCACTGGTGAAGGGAGGGGCAGGAGAAGCGGGAGGGGCAGGGGGTGGGGAGTGGGGGAGGGAGGAGATGCAGGAGGAGCGGATGGGGATGATGGGGGAGGTGAACGGCATGGTGAATGCGGTGATGGGGGCGCTGGAGAAGCTGGTGTGTGCTGGCGTGGGGCTGGATGTGATGGGCGCAGACATGCGTGCACTTGTCTCCTTTGCCCTCCAGTGCCCTCAGCCCAACCAGGTGAGAGATCAAACTCACATACTTGAATGGGCATCGCATAGCAAATGCGTAGTGAATGGGCCAATGCATGGCACAGTGACCGCTGAATCTCCGTGTCTCACATTTTCCTCATCTTCACACCCCAACAGCAGCAGCGGTACAGCCTTGTACTCATCTTCTCTCCTCCTTTCGCTCTAAAGTGGCCTGAGTGCTGCTACTGCTCTACCGCCTCATGTCTCAGCCCAACAGCAGCAGAGCATCAGCCTTCATGGTGCAGTTCCTCGCGTCAGGCGGAGCAGAGATGCTTCTGGCGCTGCTGCTGCGAGAAACCCAGTATGGGGAGACCTACCCGGTCAGTTTCCCGGCCAAATCCGGCAGTCGGCCAATCAGAAGGCGTCTGGTTCCGGTTCCGGGCGGCGAAGGCCTTGAAAATGAGGCTGGGGAGGGGATAGGGGGAGTGGAAGGGGGCAGGGAGGGGGAGTTAGGGGGGAAGGGTGAGGGTGAGGAGGAAGGTGCACGGAAGGTTCTGGTGTTTGAGGATGGGAAGGGAGGGGCAGGTGAGGGGCAAGGGGGGGCGGAGAGCGGGAGAGAAGATTCAAAGGAGGGAGGGGAGGTGGCAGAGAGTGGGGGGAAGGAAGGTGAGGATAGGGGTGAAGGAGAGAGGGAAGGACAGCAGGAGAAGGGTGAGGACAGTGAAAAAGCTTGTGGGAAAGATTCGATTAAGGAGGGTGAATCTGGGGAAGGTATATCTGAGGAGGGGGACAAGAAAGAGGATGTTTCTGAGAAGGAGAGTGAGGGGAAGGAGGAGAAAAAGAAGAGGAGAAGAAGGAAGAGGAAGAGAGCAAGAGCAAGCCGAAGCAAGAGGGGGCAAAGGGGGGAGGCGTGTGGGATCTGAGCACTTGGAACGTGTTTCTGGAGCCCCTTGGTTTGAAGGTTGGCTCGATTGACGATAAGAAAACTGAGGCAGAGAAACCGGAATCAGCAGCAGGCAAAGAGGGCGGCAAGAGAGGCTCAAAGGCAGCAGCAGGAGTAGGAGGAGGAGCAGGGGCAGTGGGAACAGGAAGCAGGAGTGGCTCCAGTGGTCTATCACAGGATGCAGCAGGTGGGGAGCAGTCAGGAGCGGGCAAAGAGCAGGAGAGGGGTATGGAAGAAGGTGAGGAGGAGGATGGGGAGGAGGACACGAGGAGGGGAGTAGCGGAGGTGGCAGCAGTGGTGGCGAGGCTGAGGGCGAAGCAGGTGTATGAGGACGACGCAGAGGAGAGTGCCGTGCAGGTGACAAAGGAAGGGATGGCTGTGCTTGCTCCCTGGGTGTGTGTGTCTGTGCCCCGCTTGGCCCGCACTGGCCCTGCCTCTGGTTCTTCCCTTGTGAAATCTGCTTCCAGTCATGCGAGCGGCGCTGCTGCTGCTGTGGCGGCGGCGGCAGCTGCTGTTGCGAAAGTTGCAAGTTGGGATGGGGGAGGCGGCAACAGGGGTGTTGGTGCCAGCAGCAGTGCAGGTAGCAGCGGCACAATTGTTAGGAGTGGCAGTGGTCATGCCTCTGCTGGTAGGGCTGAGGGAAGGGTTGCATACCGATCATCCTCTCATGGTGCATCCACCACCACAGCAGGATCTGCCGCCGCCGCTGCGGCTGCTGCTGCTGGGGTTACTGCTTCTGCAGCTGCTGCTGCTGCAGATGCTTTTTGGCTGTCTGGCTGGATGGTTGAGGGCACTGCCATGGCTGCTGCTGAAGGTACTGCTACAGCCGCTGCTGGTGCTGCTACAGGCGCAGTCACTGATGCTGATACAGCCGCCGTTGCTGATGCTGCTGCAGGCGCCACCGCTGGTGCTGCTACAGCTACAGCTGATGCTGCGGATTTCTACTTTGACAGCGATCAGGGCTTCCTGCTGACGGACAGTCCAGATGCGATTATGGTCGCAGTGATCTCGATCCTAGGGCTGCTAGCAGATGCCGGTTTCCTGCGCCTATCCGACCCGTCAGTTCTAGGAGTGGTGCCGACTACACAGGGGTTGGGAGCGGTGGTAACGGAGAGGGCAGGGAAGGACCGCAGCAATGTGGGTGCGTGGGCGGTGTATGGCGTGCAGAGAGCTCTGCAGGTGGCGCCTAAGAGGCTGTTCACGCCTGCTGTGTACCATGCTCTCATGACTGCTGTGCTCAGATGCAAGGTGAGATGCAAAGGGAGGGAGCGAGCTTTGTTGTGTTGAGAGTTCCCTGGCAGCAGCACCTGCAGGTGGCTCCTAGGAGGCTGTTCACGCCTGCTGTGTACCATGCTCTCATGACTGCTGTGCTCAGATGCAAGGTGAGATGCAAAGGGAGGGAGCGAGCTTTGTTGTGTTGAGAGTTCCCTGGCAGCAGCACCTGCAGGTGGCTCCTAGGAGGCTGTTCACGCCTGCTGTGTACCATGCTCTCATGACTGCTGTGCTCAGATGCAAGGTGAGATGCAAAGGGAGGGAGCGAGCTTTGTTGTGTTGAGAGTTCCCTGGCAGCAGCACCTGCAGGTGGCTCCTAGGAGGCTGTTCACGCCTGCTGTGTACCATGCTCTCATGACTGCTGTGCTCAGATGCAAGGTGAGATGCAAAGGGAGGGAGCGAGCTTTGTTGTGTTGAGAGTTCCCTGGCAGCAGCACCTGCAGGTGGCTCCTAGGAGGCTGTTCACGCCTGCTGTGCACCATGCTCTCATGACTGCAGTGCTGCGATGCAGGGTGAGATGCAGGGTGAGATGCAGGGTGAGATGCAGGGTGAGATGCAGGGTGAGATGCAGGGTGAGATGCAGGGTGAGATGCAGGGTGAGATGCAGGGTGAGATGCAAGGTGAGATGCAGGGTGAAGGGATGGTTTCTGTGCTTGTAACTCCTGAGTGTTCTAGCTTCTGCTGGCCCCTCCTAACTCACTCGCTTTTTTATTCCTTTCCCTTGTACGATTTCCATGTGCAGGCCGTTGATTCTCCCTCCGCCCTCCTGCCCCCGTCCACCTTCATAGCGCCCTGGGAGCAGCTGCTGCTTCTGGCGCTCCTCTGCTCGTTACCCTACACTCACTTATTCTCTTCCCGTCCCATTTCCTCCCCACTCTCAACCCCTCTGCAAGCCGTTAATTCTCCCTCCGCCCTCCTCCCCCCGTCCACCTTCATAGCGCCCTGGGAGCAGCAGCTGCTGTTAGCTCTCCTCCGCATGCTGCCCTCTGCTTACTCCTTCCCTTCCCTTCTGTGCCCCTCTCAACCCCTCTGCAGGCCGTCGATTCTCCCTCCGCCCTCCTCCCCCCGTCCACCTTCATAGCCCCCTGGGAGCAGCAGCTGCTACTAGCTCTCCTCCGTGCGCTGCCCTCTGCCGCGCCTCACACTCAGCTCGCGGTGCTCCAGGACCTGCTGCTGCTCCTCTCCCTCAACCCTGCCAATACCCGTCTCCTCACCCACTCCCCCGAATGGCCCGAGTGGCTGCTCGAGATCCTGCTCTCGAATCTCGAGGTAAGGGATAGGTAGGACCTCCTTCCTCCTCCGCGCGCTGCCCTCTGCCGCGCCTCACACTCAGCTCGCAGTGCTGCAGGACCTGCTGCTGCTGCTCTCCCTCAACCCCGCCTATCGTCAAATTCTCACACTCTCCCCCAAGTGGCCCGAATGGCTCCTCAAAATTCTGCTGACAGGATAGGCATGCCCCGAGTGGCAGCAGGCCCAGGGGGGATTAGATGCACTCTACAGGACCTGCTGCTGCTGCTGCTGCTGCTGCTCTCCCTCAACCCCGCCAACACGCGCCTCCTCACCCACTCCCCCAAGATCCTACTCTTAAGCCTCGAGGTATGAAATAAGATAGGCGCGGATATAGGGGATCTGACGCATGCTACAGGACCTGCTGCTGCTCCTCTCCCTCAACCCCGCCAATACAAGCCTCCTCACACACTCCCCCGAGTCGAGTGGCCTTGGTGGCTGCTGGAAATTCTCCTCTCAAACCTCAATCCTTGAGGTAAGGGATAGGAATTGGCATTGCAGCAGTACGTGAAGGGCTGCTACGCTGTAGCTGCAGAAATTCTCCCGTTAGCTGCGAATAATCCAAACTTAGCTGCGAATAATCCAAACTTAGCTGCGAATAATCCAAACTTAGCTGCTCTCCTGAATCCCTTGATGCTACCCCATCTTCACATAAATCTCGCAACATTTGAAGGGACATATGAAGTCTCTTAGAGTCTTTCCTGTAAGTGAGCAAATACATTGATTACATGGGTGACGGGGCATCTCTACCTCTGCATCCTCGTGTGCCTCTCACATACATGCCCTTCTCTAATTTGTCCCACTTCTCCCCCCCTGCTCCGAATACCCCATCCTTCCAGGCCTTGCCTTCAGCAGGCACCAACCAACTAACAGCAACGCAGGGGCAGTTGGGAGGGCAGGACAAGGAGAAGGAGAGCAGTGACTTGGCCTCTACTGAAGGAGATGGTACTGGGGACTGGCGTGCAGTGCGCAGCAGCACGAGTGTGCAGGAGGATGTGAATGAGCTCATCTTCAGCTTCCTGGGGATAGTGTTTGAGCACTGCTTGACCGTCACACAGGGCTGGAAGGTGAGTAAATGGAGGGGAAGGGGTAAAGGGGAGACGCAGAAGCAGGTGTGGAGCATTGAATGAATGAGACCAGCGCATCTTCAGCTTCCTGGGGATAGTGTTTGAGCACTGCTTGACAGTCAAACAAGGGTGGAGGGTGAGAAGGCGGGGGGAAGAACTAGCAGACAGCACTGGGGGTGGTAGTAGCGCTGACTTGCATGCAGTATGCAGCAGCACGAGTGGCAGTGGCGTTGACTCACGTGCAGTGCACAGCAGCATGAGCAGCACCCTTCTCTCTTCTCTCACCTCTCCTGTGTGCGTTCGTGTTCCTTCTTCCTCACCTCTCCCGCTCTCCCTCTTTCTCTCTCTGCATCTTCTCACTCAGTTGCTCGAGGCCACCTTTCACTGCTTGCAGTGGAAGGCTGGTAGATCCAAGCAGCCTCCACTCGTTCTTACCATCATAAGCATTGACTCCAGTGACCCCCCTCTCCCCATCTCCCTCCCCCACCTCACCCCCCTCTCTCCCCCCTTCCCCCTCTTACTCTCTCCCCCTCTCAGGTGCTGGAGGCCACTTTTCACTGCTTGCAGTGGAAGGCACTCATTGGGGGAAGCAGCGTGGGAGAGCAGCTGAAGAGGTGTGTGTGTGTGTGTGTGTGTGTGCGCGCGCGCGCGCGTGTGTGTGTGTGTGTGTGTGTGCGTGTGTGTGTGTGTGCGTGCGTGTGTGTGCACATTCGCTTGCCTACTCGCTCGCGTGTGCACGTTTGAGTGGAGAATCAAAAGCTTCCTGAGATTGAAAATCCCTCCAACACAGCATGGCTCCATCCATCTCTCCATCTCTCCAACACATCCAAACACACACACACACACATGCAGGAGGCAAGCAGCAATGGTAACCATCCATCGCAGGCTGTTACACGAAGCTCTCGACTTAAAGCTTCGCACCTCCTCGCAAACCCCCCTCCTCCTCCAAACCCCGCTCAACCCCACTCTCTCTCCTCCCCTCCGCCCTCCTCCTCTGCCCTAGACATGCTCTCTCCACGCTCTTCCACCACCCCTGCTACTGCCGCCTTGCCTACCACTGCCTCTCCTGCTGCTGCTGCCCCAACTGCTGCTGCCCCTTCTGCCGCTGTCCCTCCTGTTGCCGCCACCTGCCTCTTAGAAAACGCGGTGGCACTGCTGATGCTGCTGGAAGAGTTTCTACGCATTCAGGCTGAAAAGAGGATTATCATGGGGGAGGGCGAGGAGGAAGAGGAAGGGGAGGAGGAGAGTGGGGATGGCCTGGTGGAGGGTCAGAGGGTGGACAGGGATGGAGTGCGGTGGACGGTGGTGGCAGAGGAGGATGGGGAGGGACAGAGGAAGCATAGGCCTGCTGCTTGGGCTGATCCGGCTGATGCTGCTTTGACTGCTGCTGCTGCCGCTGCTGCTGGTGTTGGTGGTGCCGCTTCTGCCGATGCTGCTACTGCTGCTGGAGCAACGACAGCAGGAATATCAGCAGAAGCAACAGCAGCAGCAGATGGGGCAACTACAGAAGGTACAGGAGGCATTGAAGCAGCTGCTGCTGCTACTCCTGCATGGACGCCTGAGTTCCCTTCCTTGGACCCTGAATCTAGCAACCAGACAGACCCTCCCACTGCAGACGCTACAGCTGCTACAGCCGATTCGCCTGCTACAGCTGCTGTAGATTCTGCCTCTAATGGTTTCGGGTGGGTGGCCGAGTTCCCTCTCATCGATCTCAGCGCAGAAACCCTCCCTGCCACTGCTGTCACTGTCACTGTCACCACCTCCGCAGCAGCACCCACTTCCAGCCCAGTGGCAGGAGCAGCCGTGCACGAATCATTATCAGCACCCGCAGCAGTGCCGGCAGCAGCAGCAGCTGGGATGCATTTCGATCTGCTCACTGGCTCCTTCTCTCCCTCCAATCCACCCCTGCACCCCACCGTCTCGCCTCCTCTAGCCCCTCTGTCATCCCCACCAGGATCAGCCTCCCTTATTTCCCTAGACAGCCCCCAACAAGAGCGGCAGGAGCGGCGGCTACAGACACATGCATCGCCATCAGGCCTCGGGTCAGCAATAGAGAGGAACCGCAAGAAGCACAAGCCCAGGCGATTTAAAGCCATTCAGTCTGCCTTAGCTAGCTACGGGTCTATCGTCCAATCGCTGCCTGACAGCTGGCGCCGGAGATCTCGGCTGTGGTTTGGAGAGGGTGTGGGGAAGGAAGGGGAGGAGGCAGTGGGGTGGGGGGGTGAGGGAGGAGGGAAGGGGGGGAAAGGAGGGGAGGCGGGTGGGAGTGAGGAGGGGAGCAGAGCAGAGGTATCTGCTTTAGAGCAAGTGTTATTAGAGCTTGCTGATCCTATAGAGGAGGATGAGGAGGAGGACGAGGCAGGGGGATGGGTAGACCTACGCCTAGTGCTAAAGGGTGTGACTATACTGAAGGGTATGCTTCTAGAGAAGGAGGGGGTGGGAGCAGCGGAGTCTGGCGTTTTGGCTGTGCTGGGAGGGGTGGGGGCAGGAATGAGCGAGGCTCTTAAAGAGATATTGGATGATGATCAATCGCTTGTGACTATATTGAGGGTGGTGTTGGTGGCGGCTAGGGAGACGGATGGGGGGGAGATGGGTGGAGAGCTGATCAGAAAAGGAGTTCGGGAGGGGGAGGAAGTTACGGAGAAGGTTCTGAGCTCCTTGCTGTGGAGGTGAGTGTATATATTGGAGCTTTACTCAAATCATTTGAGTGTATATATTGGAGCTTGACTCAAATCATTTGAGTGTATATATTGGAGCTTGACTCAAATCATTTGAGTGTATATATTGGAGCTTGACTCAAATCATTTGAGTGTATATATGGAGTGTATCCATCATCCATACATTTGACTCGTATTCGTTTCTGTCTGCTTGTCTCTTCTCCCAAGCCCCACGCCCATCATCCATCCGTATGGCATCCACCGGTCCATGCAAGTTCACTGTTCAACCTCCGTGCATTTCCCTGTGGCTGTTTTCCCAACCCCACTTGTCAGAATCCTGGCGCCGCTCCTCACCACCTCTCGCCTCGACCAGCGGCAAAACGGCGCTCTCTCCATCGCTGCTATTCTGCACATAGAGGTATGTGACTAGCACAGAGGTATGTGACTAGCACAGAGGTATGTGACTAGCACAGAGGTATGCCGCACTGCACACACGTGCAGTGTGCAAGCTGCTCCCTCGTAGTTTTATTACCAAAGCGTGCACTTGTGGCGTCCCACGTCAAGCTACTGGTGGTGGCTGTATCTTCAATGAGCGTTTTCTCTTCCGCCCTCTCCACCCCTAAATATGATGACATCCAGCTCATTCCCTCCCCCTCTTCGCCCCCTCCCCCCCCCCCCCTCTTTCCCCCCCAACCGGCCAGATTATCCATTCAATCGACAGCGATCGCACCATCCTGCGCCCCACCTTCCTCGCCCTCCTCCTCCCGCCCTTCACCGCCCTCCTCCGCAAGTGGCGCCCGTCCCTCCGCTGCCTCCGCCTCCTCTCCGACCACACAGGCGCCTCCCCCTTCTCAGACCCCAACACCCCGGCTCTTGCCACCGACGCCACTCCTACAGATGCTGCTCTTGCATTCCTCTCTCCGGTGTGGGTCGCCGCGTTTGCCTCGCCGCCTGCTGCTGTCTGCCTGGCCGCCAGTGCTGCTGCCACAGGCCCTGCGGCTGTTCATGGCTCGGGTAGGAGCTGGAACAGCAGCAGCAGGAGCGGCGGTGGTGGTAGCGGTGTGGGTGGTGCATTTTTCGGTGCTGGTGCTGCTGCTGGAAGGATGGGGCGAGAGAGGAAGCTGGGGCACATGGATAGGCTGTACGGGCTGACAGATGGCAGGCCGGGAGTGGACGGAGTTCCCGAGGCCGCCACGTCAGCGAAGCGGCGGGAGAAGGGGGATATCCTGAGGTCTGGGCGGTGGAGCCTGTGGGACTCACTGGAAGGTGCATGGGTAGATGTGACTGGTCTCAAACACCCTGCCCTCAAGCTCTCTAGTCTCCTGCACTCCTCTCCTGTCAAGGGCAGCAGCGACAGCAGCAGCAGTGGCAGCAGCAAGAAGGAGTGGGATGAGGTGGAGATGAGGTATAGCATCTCCTTGGGACCCAGAGTGGGTGGGCTGCAGCTCTACCTCTCCTCTCTGCTCGACCTCCTCGACTCACAGGTCGGTCAGCCTCCCCCAGCTGTCACCTCCACAAGCTGTCACCTCCCCCAGCTGTCACGTCCCCCAGCTGTCACCTCCCCTCCCTCCCCTACCTGTCCAGTCCACCCACCCTCCTCATTTCCCCTTCCTCCACCCTCCACCCATCCCTTTCCACCTTCACCTCCTCTTTCCAGACCCTGCAAGAAGCGAAGCTCCACTCACCCATTGTGAAGGCTCGGGCGGCAGGGGCGCGCATGTGGCGCTCTCTCATTCGCCAGCTGCTCAAGTCCGGGCGGCTGTGTGGCGCTCGGGCAAGCCATGAAGAATTTTCGCTATCACAAGTGAGTGTTTGGTTTGGTTCTAAATATTGCCATGGAGTTGCGAGCAGCCCCAAGGACTACTTCTGTGCTTATGGGTTCAATTAGTCTTTTTTTCTTGTGCTCATGTGCCCCTAAACGCACCGTGAGGCTGATAACCACCCCGATACATACCATACCATACCATACCACACCCATCAGATCAGACTGTATGGAAACTGTTCACATCAAGTGAAGGCATCCCTGGTATTTGCATGCTCACTTCTCTCCCCTCTCCACCCGTTCACCCTCCTTCCGGTCAGCCCCCTATCCTGCTATATACTCGGCATTTCCATACCACACCAAATCACCCCGTCGTCGGCCCCTGTATCCGGGATTGAGTTAAGGCAAGTGTATGCATGCTTCTCACCAACCTCCCTTCTAACCTCCCATCATCCCTCCCAACACCCTTCAACCTGCTGTACCTGTACCACACCATACCATCAAACCCATCAGACCGTGTGGCAGCTGGATCGCATGGAGACCTCTCTGCGCATGCATGCTACCCACCAACATCCCTTATAACCTCCCACCATCCGTCCCATACCATTCCATCCCATCCATCACCCATCAGACCGTGTGGCAGCTGGATCGCATGGAGACCTCTCTGCGCATGCGCCGGCGTGTGAAGCCATGCTTCTCACTGCCCCTCTAACCTCCCACCATCCCCTTATTCCCGTACCGCCCCCATCAGGCCGTGTGGCAGTTGGATCGCATGGAAACCTCTCTGCGCATGCGCCGGCGTGTCAAGCCGTGCTTCTCCTCCACAACTGCTACTGCCACGCTCCGTGCTTCTGGTCCCCACGGGGCCATAAAGGGTGGTGCTGCAGCAGCAGAAGATGCCATTGCAGATGCCAGTACTGATGCTGCAGCTGATTCTACAGCAGGAGCCACAGTAGAAGACACAAGAACGAGTGCTGCAGCAGTGGAGGAGGCGGTGCAACGGCTTGGGGGAGCTCTGCCCGCACCGCTAGGGGGGTTCATGAGGGGAGGTGTGGGGAAGGGGGGAGAGGAGGGGGGAGCGGAGGGGGAAGGGGAGAAAGAGCAGGAAAAGGGAGAGGAGGAGGAAGGAGGGAAGGGAGGAAGAGAGGGAAAAGCAGAGGGGGTTGGGAAGGAGGAGGGAGGCGAGGAGGGAGGAGTGGGGGGAGACGGAGCTACATCAGGGGCTGCTGCTGAGGAAGAAGGGCTGGGGAGTGCAGTAGCAGAGGAGACTGTAAAGAGGAAAGAGGTGGGAGATGGTGTTGTGGGTGGTGTGGAAGGGGGTGCGAGTGGAGGGAAGAAGCATAAGGCAAGTGGATCGTCTAGAGGTAGGGAGAAGAGGGCGAAACCGGGCGGCGTGGAGTGGACGCTAGTGGCGGATGTGGACGGCGAAGAGGTGCTGGCTGACGTGGCAGCAATGATGGTGCAGCCGCTGCGAACAGTGAAGGGGCGGCTGGTGGTTACCACCACTCGCCTCTGGTTCCACGTGGATTCATCTGTGCCGTTCCGAGAGAGAGGGTGCGGAGGACAGGGAGAGAAAGGGGAGAAGAGTGAGAAGGGAGAGAAGAGTGAGGTGGGTGGAGGAAAGGAGGACGGTGGACAGGATGAAGCAGAAAGCACTCGGAAGGTTTCGGTTTCGAGTAGCAGCGGTGGCAACGAGGGGAAGGTGGGCAGCAGCGGAGGCACGATGAGAGGAGATGAGGCTGTGTGTGCGAGCATGGGCGATCGCGTGTGGCGGCTCTCATCTGTCCGCGAAGTGCTTACTCGACGGTGAGGGTCCTTAACTGGATTCATGGTGGTGTGTGGGTTTCATTCCACTATGTGTTTCACTTGGTTTGGCACGCAACTTCTGATGTGCCTCAAACGTCTGTTGCTGACTGAACGTTTGCCTTAGACGTTTGCTACTAACACAACTCCCTCCCTCCATCATATGCTCCATCCCTCCATCATATGCTCCCTCCCTCCATCATATGCTCCCTCCCTCCGTCATATGCTCCCTCCCTCCATCATATGCTCCCTCCCTCCATCATATGCTCCCTCCCGCCAGCTACCTCTCCTCTTGCGCCGCTCTGCTCTGGAGATACTCATGGTCGACTGGTCCAAACCCCCCCTTTACTCCCCTCCATCTCTGCGCCAGCTACCTTCTGTGCCGCTCTGCTCTGGAGATACTCATGGTCGGCTGGTCCAACTTCTTCTTTGCCCCTTTACTGTTTGCTAACACGACTGCCTCTATCCACCATATCCTCCCTTCCTCCCGTCTCCCCTTCTCCCTCTACATCAAGCTACCTGCTGCGCCGCTCTGCTCTGGAGATATTCATGATCGACCGTGCCAACTTCTTCTTTGCCTTTGATATTTACTGACATGATTCCCTCTACGTTCTCCCTCCCACCAGCTATCTGCTGCGTCGTTCTGCGCTGGAGATATTCATGATCGACCGGTCCAACTTCTTCGTTGCCTTTGAGGGGGCGGAGGAGCGTAAGAGAGTGCACCGCGCCATCGAGAGGGCGCACCCGCCGCACTTCCAGCACCTCTTTTCGGCATCGCAGGTGATTACAACGGACTCTTCGCTCACTGCACTCTCATGTCGTTCTTTTTTTGTTCTAGCACACTTCTTTCGGCCTGTCACGCTGTCTTGCTATGTGTTTTAAGGGTGGTGGTCCCTATCGTGCCTGCCCTGCCAAGCGATCAGAATGTTTTTCTGGGCCCATCTCTGAATTCTTATCCCTGTAACAGTGGTGCTCATCTTTGAGTCCTTGTCCTCTGTGTGTGGCCCATGGTTTCTATTGTAATGTTCATTCTGTTCTCTTCTTGTCTATGTTTTGTTTCTTGCTTTCTTATCTTGCCCACGTGTGTGTGTGTGTGTGTGTGTGTGTGTGTGTGTGTGTGTGTGTGTGTGTGTGTGTGTGTGTGTGTGTGTGTGTGTGTGTGTATGTCTGTGTTTCAGCGACCGGAGACCATTCTGGAGAAGCTTCAGCTCACCAAGAAATGGGTGAACAGAGAGGTAAGGGACATACACTCTGTGGTGCGCATATATATGTGCACCGCATTTCCGCTTACCTCAAGCACTCTTGCTGGCCAATTTTCCATGATACCCACTGCCCCTCTGTTCTCCTGTTGCAAAACACTCAACACTCCCCTGCACTCCTCTCCACTCCTCTCCACTCCCCGTCAGATCACCAACTTTGAGTACCTCATGCATCTCAACACTCTCGCCGGGCGATCTTTCAACGATGTCACTCAGGTTCGCGTTCTTTCTCAAAGGCACGCCAGGGATAGAACCTTCAGTGAACGTTCATCTCTTTGAAGCAGGCACATTACTTACCTTGCCCCCATTCCCGTTGCCCCTGGTCTGTTTGCAGTACCCCGTCTTCCCGTGGGTAATTCAGGATTATACCTCCAAGGAGCTCGATCTCACCAAGACAGCCACATTCCGCGACCTCTCAAAGGTAATAACCCTGGGCTGCACTGCACTGCACTGCACCTGGGCTGAAATATACTCCAACTGGGCAGGCCAGCCCAGGCTGGAATCATTGGAATGTGGCTCTGGGCTGCTTTGCACCCCCCGACTGACATATAATCTGGGCTGGAATAGTTTGGCCTGAAGTTATTTTTGAGTCGACTAAAAAATCATTGGAGTGTGGCTCTGGGCTGCTTTGCACCCCCCGACTGACATAATCTGGGCTGGAATAGTTTGGCCTGAAGTTGCCTCCCATCCTCATCTGTTCCCGATTTTCTGTTCCCTCCAATTCGCCGCCCTGATTTTTCGTGCCATGCTGCATCCCCTTGCAACTCTCCCCCTCTCCTCATTTCCCTCCCTCCCTACTCCACCCTTTCTCTGCCTCCAGCCCATGGGAGCGTTGACTCAGCCTCGCCTGGCAAAGATAACCCAGCGCTACGAGACGTTTGACGATCCGGTCATCCCCAAGTTCCACCACGGCACGCACTACTCCAGCGCTGCAATAGTGAGTGAATGCTTTAGCAGTGTAAGAAACCCCACATCAGCACTGTGACTCTCTTCACCTTGTTCCTCTGATGACCCAGTCATCCCCAAGTTCCACCACGGCACGCACTACTCCAGTGCTGCTATCGTGAGTGGCTGCTTTACGTGTACAATTACCCCTCTCAGCACTGTGACTCTCTTCTCTTGTCGGTGTGTCCCTTGCTCCTCTCACGACCTGGTCATTCCCAAGTTCCACCACGGCACGCACTACTCCAGTGCTGCTATTGTGAGTGCCCCTTTTCACATGTCGCTCTCTTAGCACTCGCCCCCACGGTAACATTGTGCCCCTTGCTCCTCTCACGATCCGGTCATCCCCAAGTTCCACCATGGCACCCACTACTCCAGCGCCGCCATCGTGAGTGGCTGCTTTAGGACTGTCACTCCCGTAGTGATTCACTCAACTCAGCCCCCATGGCAAAGCTGCTCCTTTGATGACCCGCTCATCCCCAAGTTCCACCACGGCACGCACTACTCCAGCGCTGCTATCGTGAGTGGCTCTTCTAGTAGCAATGTTCCTAGTACGGTGTCTCTCTTAGCACTGTGACATTCCTAGCGCTCTGTCCCTTGCTCCTCTGATGACCCGGTCATCCCCACCCCAAGTTCCACCACGGCTCGCACTACTCCCGCGCTGCTATTGTGAGTGCCTGCTTTAGCAGTGCAATTACCCCTCTCAGCACTGTGACTCTCTTCTCTTAACACTTTGTCCCTTGCTCCTCTGACGACCCGGTCATCCCCACCCCAAGTTCCACCACGGCTCGCACTACTCCAGCGCTGCCTGCCATTGTGAGTGGCCCCTCCTGTCGCACAGTGACGCAGCACTATGAGTTGCTCGAGTGATCCCTCAAACTCGCCTGGCAAAGATAATTGAGCGCTACAAGTCGTTTGACGACCCGGTGATCCCCAAGTTTCCCCAAACCCCCACACTCCTCCCCTCCTCCTCCTCCAGGCCTCCCACTATCTTGTGCGTCTAGAGCACTTCACGTCCCTCGCAGTCGCCCAGCAAGGCAGCAAGCTGGACCATCCTGACTGGCTCTTCAGGGACGACTGTCACCTCTCTGCTTACACACTCTCTTCTCTTCTTCTCCCCTCCCCTACCTCTTTCCCCACCATTCCTCCTGCACCAGGCCTCCCACTATCTAGTGCGTCTGGAGCCCTTCACCTCTCGCAGTCTCTCTGCAGGGCGGCAAACTGGACCCATCCCTCCCCTCCCACCCATCCCTCCCCTCCCACCCATCCCTCCCATCCCCCCCATTCCTCCCTCACCAGGCCTCCCACTATCTAGTGCGTCTGGAGCCCTTCACCTCCCTCGCTGTATCTCTCCAAGGCGGCAGACTGGACCATCCTGACCGGCTCTTCAGGGATGTGGCGAGCACGTGGAGGGGGGTAACCACCGACATGGCTGATGTGAAGGAGCTGGTGAGAGGACAAGGGGTGCAGACAGGGATGTGAGGTAGTTGGCCTGTGTGGGTGGGTGGGCAGGGCACTGGGCTGCCTGCCCCTGACTGGGGTTCATGTTATAGCATCACGTGGCAAGGAGTAACCACCACCGACATGGCTCATGTGAAAGTGCTGGTGGGAGGGGGGGCAGGGGTGTGATTGGTGAGTGAGGTTGTTGATATGTGTGGGCAGTGCAGAGAGGGCAGTGCTCAGTGCTCTGTGAGCAGTAATTTGGGCAGACCACCAAGTGGGCTGAGCACTTCCTGGGCTGACATGACAGCGCCGCAGTCATGTCAGACCCCCAAGTGCGCTGTCATGTCATGGCAGCGGTGCTCAGTGCTCTGCGAGCAGTACTTTTGGCAGACCCCCAAGTGGTTTTCCCTTCCTGGGCTGACATGACAGCGCTACTGCCTTGCTTGTTCCCTCCCCCGCACCCATCCCTCACTCACCCTCTCCTGCCCATTCTCTCGCAGATCCCCGAGTGATTCTGCCTCTCAGAAATGTTTCAGAACGTCAACAGCCTTGCTCTGGGAGCCACACAGCAGGAGGGGGAGGAGATCGGGGATGTGGTGCTGCCCCCTTGGACTGACAGCGCTGTTGCCTTGCCTCTCCCTCCCTCTCGACCCATCCCAACCCTCTCCTTTCCCTTTTTTCTTCCGTTTGCAGATCCCCGAGTGGTTCTGCCTTCCAGAGATGTTTCAGAACGTCAACGGCATTCCTTTAGGCTCAACACAGAAAGGGGAGGAGATAGGGGATGTGGTGCTGCCGCCCTGGGCGGGCAGTGCAGTTGACTTTGTGCACAAGCAGCGGGCGGCACTGGAGAGCGAATACGTCAGCAGCAACCTGCACCATTGGATCGACCTCATCTTCGGGTACGTGCGATGTGCACCGTAGGATCGGGTTGCCGTTCTTTATCTGAACTCTTCGACCACGTTTGTGTTTGTTCAACTGCCTGTGTTTTGGGGCTCGGATGGAGATATAGTCTACATGGATCCCTTCTCACTTCTCAAATTCAATGTCACTATCCTGCTTCCCCTCCTCCCTCCCCCACATCCTTGCCATGCAGTTACAAGCAGACGGGCCCAGAGGCAGTAAAGGCACACACTGTGTTCGGCACCTTAGCTCGCTCCATCCCATCTCGGTGTCCCTATCTGGTCCCCCCTCCTCCCATTCTTCCCCCCGTCCTTCTCTGCCGCCTTTCGTTCCCACCATGCAGGTACAAGCAGACGGGGCAAGAGGCAGTGAAGGCACACAATGTGTTCTTCAATCCACTAAACCCTAAACCCTGGTTCAATCCCTATCCCACTATCTTGTCCGCTTTTCCCACCATGCAGGTACAAGCAGACAGGCTCAGAGGCAGTGAAGGCGCACAACGTGTTCTTCTATGTGACCTACGAGGGGGCAGTTGACATCGACTCGGTTCACGACCCTGTGAGTACAAGGAGTGCGCGCTTCTGTTTCTTTGTACGGTCCTCCTTATTCAAAGATTCACAACGTGTTCTTCTATGTGACCTACGAGGGGGCAGTTGACATCGACTCGGTTCAAGATCCCGTGAGTGGATTGACTTTGCATATTTCTTATTGAGTTGACTCAAAGGGCACAACGTGTTCTTCTATGTGACCTACGAGGGGCCAGTTGATATCGACTCGGTTCACGACCCTGTGAGTGAAAGGTCACATCGTGCTCTTGTATGCAGAGGCTGTGTTTGTGCGCGCTTTTGGTTTAGTTTTGTTTTGTTTAGTTGTTGCTGTTGCTGTTGCTGTTGCAGTTGCTGTTGCTGTTGCTGTTGCTGTTGCTGATGCTGATGCTGATGCTGATGCTGATGCTGTTGCTGTTGCTGTTGCTGTTGCTGTTGCTGTTGCTGTTGCCGTTGCCGTTGCTGTTGCTGTTGCTGTTGCTCATGCTGATGCTGATGTTGTTGCTGTTGTTGTTGCTGTTGCTGTCGCTGTTTCTGTTGCTGTTGCTCATGCTAATGCTAATGCTGATGCTGATGCTGATGCTGTTGCTGTTGCTGTTGCTGTTGCTGTTGCTGTTGCTGTTGCTGTTTCTGTTGCTGTTGCTGTTTCTGTTGCTGTTGCTGTCGCTGTTGATTTTATTTTTTTACAAAATCATCTCATCCTCACTGCTTGTCTCTGTCGTTCCGCAATGCCCCAGGTCACTCGGCGGGGCCTGCAGGATCAGATCAAGTACTTTGGCCAGACGCCCTCACACCTCTTCACCGCTCCTCACCCCAAGCGCATCCCTCTCGACCGAGCCCTGCACCTGCATGTATGTGGCTCAAATTTTAATTCCATCCGCTTTTGACTCATACATCTAACAGTATAACTGGCTGTCTTCAACTGTTTTGTACAGTTATCCTCTGGCCGAGCTCTTTACCTGCATGTACGTGGCTCAGTGGGAGTGACTTGCTGAAGCTTTTGTTCACACATACAGGTTTCTCCCTTTTCCTTGCTCCCTCATGCTCTCACACCCCACGCTTCCTCTCCTTTCCACTCCCTTACCCCCGCCTCCTTTCCCCCCCACCAGACCATATTCCGCAAGCCCAACGAGATTTTCCCCTACGTGCTCCCCTGCCCTGAGACCCTCAACGTGCCCTTACTCCCTACTTACCCTCCCTCCCTCCCTCCCATCCCCCTTTCCACCCGCTTTCAAATCCCCCTCTCCCTCCCCCCAGACCATATTCCGCAAGCCCAACGAGATTCTTCCCTACGTGCTCCCGCGCCCCGAGACTCTCAACGTGCCGGCCGCCCGGCTGCACGCCACGTCAGATGCAATCATAACCGTCGATCACAACGTGCCAGCCTGTCACATTGCCGTCCACCAGTGGCAGCCCAACACGCCGGACGGCCACGGTTGGCCTTTTCTGTTCCAGCCCGGGCGGGCGTCGCTTTCGGGCGGCGCACTGCTTCGCATGCTGAAAAGCTCAGCTCCGGGGTTCGGTGCGGGCGGCATAGTGGCCGGACTAGGTATGGGAATCGGGGGAAGCGGCTTCGGAGGTTCGGTTGGGACAGGCGGAGGGTTGGGGGGAGCTGGTTCGAGAGGGGGGGGAGTGGGAGGAGGAGCAGCAGGGGGAGCAGGAGGGGGAGGAGGAGGAGGAGGTATGGTTTCGGAGACGTCGATTTACCCGCGGCTGCTCGCTCTCCCTGCGAGGGGCATCCGCCGCCCAAAGGAGCTCGTGGCAATCACGCCGGATGGCAAGAATCTGATCACGGGCGGCCATGCGGACTGTTCTGTGAAGCTGATCTCAGTCGATAGCACCCGTGTGGTTGAATCAGCAGTGGTGCACACTGCTCCTGTGACCTCCCTGAGCCTGTCCCCTGAAGGGGCAACGCTGGTTACAGGGGCAGCAGATGGGACGGTGATGCTGTGGCATGTGAACACCTCGGCTTCACTCGCTGCTGCTGCTTCTAGCCTCGCTGCGAGCATGCTGGGGACGCCAGACAGCAGTGCTGCTTCTCGAGTGCTCTCTGGAGGGCCGCATGATCCCGGCCTTGTGTCGTCGCCTGAAGCAGCGAGTAGGAGGGAGGTAGACGAGGAGGAAGAGGAAGAGGAGAGGGAGAAGGAGGAGCGGAGGAGGCGAGGTAGCGGCAGCAGCGATTCTGCTGCTGCGTCTAGTCTTGCTGGTAGGATGCTTTCTGGTCTTGCTGCTTCTAGTCTCGCTGCTGGCCGGGCATCCATAGAGCAGGTCAAGAAAAAGCTGAGGCGACTAGAGGGTCCCGTGCATGTGCTGAGAGGGCATACAGATGAGGTGGTGTGCTGTGCCGTTTCCTCAGACCTAGATATTGCCGCCTCGTCTTCGCTCTCGTCGGGTGTTCTTCTGCACTCAATTATGCGCGGAAAGTTTCTCCGCGCACTGCCCGGGGTCGGCCGGGCAGACGTGCTCGCGATTTCCCCCGAGGGGCTGGTGGTGGTGTGGGAATTAGCTAAGCGCGCGCTAAGAGTTTTCACGATTAATGCTGAGCCGGTGGCAGCTGTGGGGGTCCCGGAAGAGGATGGGGATGTAAGTGCGGTGCAGATCTCTGCGGATGGGTTGTATGTGGTGGTGGGGACGGATTGCACTAGGTGGAGATACATGAGGGAGAAGGAGAGGGAGAGGGAGCGGCAGAGGGCTGCGGTGGTGGTGGGTAAGAGCGTGGGAGTGAGGAAGGTCGGTGGGGAGGAGAAGAGCGGCAAGAGTGGGAAGAGCGGAGCTGGAGGAGAGAGAGAGGAGGGAGAGGGGGTGGGGAGAGGGGGGGATGGGAGGGAGGCGTTTGAGGAGGAGGGTTTACCAAACTGGAGGGATTCCGATGAAGGAGGGTCCAAGCGGGAGAGAGGTTCGGCCATTTCGCTGCTCGAGATCTTCACTCTCAAGGTACACGCCTCGTACTGTTTCGAGCCTTTTTGGAGTTGCTTTTGAGAACTCACTTTCGAGAGTTCTCTAAAGCAACTCCAACATTGCTGCTTGAAATCTTCACTCTCAAGGTACACGCTCCGTACTGTTTCGAGCCCTTTTCTTTGGTTTGTCAGCTGCTACTGCTGGATGAGTGCATGCAAGCTTCGGGTGAATGTTGAAGGGGCCCTGCTGTTGATATGTCGCTACTGCTGGATGAGTGCATGCAAGCTTCGGGTGAATGTTGAAGGGGCCCTGCTGTTGATATGTCGCTACTGCTGCATCTCCTTCGAGATATTAAGTACTGTACTTGCCATTCTTCACACTGTTTTCACACTACTCACTATGCCTTCTATGTCCCCCGTATAAGCAGGCCCTGTACCACTGCAAAGAGGTGATAGCATGGCCCCTGTTCGTGACTATCACCTCTCTTCATTTCTCTATTTCATTCCGTCCCCCATGCAAGCAGGCTCTGTACCGCTTCAACCAGAGAGCAATGATGTGACAAGCCCTGTCAGCTGACAACACCAACCTCATCTGCTCTGCTCATCACCACCGCTCTTCCTTACTCTGTTCCATTCCATCCCCCTTACAAGCAGGCTCTGTATCGCTTCAAGCTGCCTGAGAGCAGCGACGTCACAGCCCTGGCCCTGTCAGCAGACAACACCAACCTCATCTGCTCTGCTTCTGTCGTTCTCTCCCCCGGCCACCTAATCCTCTACAGTAACCCAATCGTAAGCGTTTATTTCCGCTGTCTTCCTGATGGTGATTTCATTGTATCTATATTAGTATCTTCTGTTGTCTCGGTGAGGCCTTTTATGTAACCTTCCGCTCCACCCTGTTGCGTAACACATAGCCCACTAACCGAACATCCTAATGTTTTTTCCTTTCCATCCTCCAACCCGCACCACTTGCGTGTTTCAGCTAAGTGTGAAGTTGGTGGATCAGATGCTGAGGCTGGGATGGGAGGGAGGGGGGCTGCAATCAGTGATGCAGCAGCCAGAACGAGCGTCTGCTTCCCCTCCGCCCCCCACCAAAACATCCTCCCCCGCCTCTCAAAGTGCATCAACTTCGTCCTCGGCACGAGTGTCTGGTCTATATTTGTGACCCTGGCCAAAACGACCTTCTATAATGGCACTGTAGACTGTGATGGCAAAACGATTCACGATTGTAAGCGCACAAGGAATTTGACTTAGTTGTTTTTGTAGCTGGGAGGTACACTTTTAGCAATATGAACTGAACGCTGTTGCAGGTGAGGGTAGGCATTTGGATGCTGTAGTAATAGAGCAAATTCAAGTCATTGACAGCGCACTGCGCTCGTATCGTGTAGCGAGTCGGTAAAAGTAGAGGAATTTCAGGCTGGTTTGCCTGTTGCGGTTGCGAGAGGTTGGGTACGACTCCTCAAGGTGCAGCAAGATTGCGCGTGGGTGCAATACGGTAACGTGTCTGTTTGTGTTTCAGCCTGCGGCCTGAGATTATTTCTTTCTGCTTCCTGCTTATTCCTTGCTAAGCATAACTGGCTGAGTTGATGAGTTCATTTAGTATGTATAAGTTTCTCAGCTGCTTTCCGGCTTACAATAAAATTTATCGGTCACAGAATTTGAGCGATTTTCCGCGCGCGTTGTCAAGCAGCTTCAGCCTTCACCTGTACTGCTCTTCTTTCCTGGCGCGGCATTCTCTAGGTGCCTCGATAGTCGTTACCTGTCGGAGTTATACCTCTTCGGCATGAGCAGCAGCGGTAGAATTCGTGGGTGACCTGTGAGTCGACTCAATAGTTTCCTGTCACTGCTATACCTCCCCGTATTGTCAGACGGTAGACTGGCATGAGCAGCAGCGCTAGAATTCGCCGGAAGCTGATCGAATACTCTGCACAGGGGTCTTTAAAGAAGATTAAAGCTCTCTTGAAAGGCGCAGCGGGGCGATCATCGGCGTCGGACACATCTGAACCGTCGGATTCGGAATCTTCCGGCCGGTCGGATTCGAGTTCGTCTGAGTCACACGAGCGGGAAAGGGGTCGGAGGGAGCGCAAGAGAGGCAAGGAGAAGGAGTCACTGAGTCGAGGAAGATCGAGGAGGCGAAGTGATAGTGACAATTGTGATTCTACCGGAAGGGATAGTAGCAGTTCCGAGAGTAGGAGCAGCGGCAGCAGGAGGAAGAGAAGGAGGAAGGGTGAAGGGAAGGGAAGGGGTGAGAAGAGGTCAAAGAAGAGGACACGCCGGGATGTGTCATCAGATTCTGATTCTGGTTCGGATTCAGATTCGGAATCGAGTTCAGATTTGAATGTACATTCAGAATCAAAATCATATTTAGATTCGGGTGAATCTGAGCACGGAGCAGCAGGGAGGGGGAAGAGGCGGAGGGAGGAGGACGGGGGTGACGACTGGGATGAAGAGGAGGACGAGGAGCAGGGGAAGAAGAGACGCAATAAAGACGGCCGTTCATCTTCCCCTCGACATGAGCACACGGGAAAGCGGCGAGATAAGAGGGAGGGAAAAGGGAGCGAGAAATGGGAGAAACGGGATAAACAAGAGGAACGGGAGGGCAAGCGAAGCAGGCGCAAGGACAAGCACAGGAAGAGTAAAACATCGAATAGCAGCAGACATAGAAAACGGAGGGAGAAACGGTCATCTTCCAGGAAGCTTCGTGTGGATCTGAATAGTACAGACGCCCAGGGATGGACCCCTCTCCACCACGCGGCCCACTCAGGCTCTGCTGATCTCGTCAAATACCTCCTCAAACTTGGGAAAAATAAGGAGGTAAGTCATCCTGACAAGAAGCATAGTGGACACTCGATAAGGTCAAGTAAGGACCAGAAGGAAGGGTTGAAATTGGTATCAGTGCAGGATAACAGAGGGAATACGCCTGTCCACGTGGCAGCCAGGATGGGCCATGCCTCGGTGATCCAGCTGCTCAGAGACGCCGGAGCTGACATGCAGGCTCGGAATCTGGCTGGGGAGACTCCCGAGGCTCTTGTGCAGCGCCGGCTGATGGATTTGCGGCGCCGAACCGCGGAAGCAGCCTTGGAAAAAGCAGGGAGCGTGTGGGGAGAGGGGAGTGATAATGAGGGGCACTTTGGGGGGGGTGGTGGTGGTTATGGTAATGGTTCCAACAATGCTGCATTGTGGGGAGATCCCGAGGAAAGCACCGAGGCAGCAGCTGCTGAGGCTCGGTATCACAGGTTCGGGTCCCAATCCGACAGGTTCGGTGCTGGGCCATGGGGAGCTGATGACGCTTGGAAGGATGACGTGGCAGCTCAGATGAAGAGCAGGATGAGGAGGGACGAGGAGAGCCACCGGGCAGCAGTTTTTGGAGCGAAGCGGGAGGAGGAAGTAGACAAGAGGAGACGGTGGGAGGAGGAGAGGAAGATACGGGAGGAAGAAGCAAGGAAGGTTCTGAAAGCAGAACAGGCCAAGGATAAGGCCTGGAGAGCAGCGATCAAGGAGCAAGTACAGAAAAAGAAGGTGGTACAGAAGCAAGAGGATTATGACGAGAGATGGAAGAGATTTGCCAAGTCATGCGACATGGGTATTACCATGGCTGATGTGCCGTTCCCAGTGGTGGGTGGTGGGGAGGAGGAGCTGAAGCATGTGATTCTGCATGGCGTGCCAAAGGAGCAGCACCGGAAGAGGATGAGAGAGGAGGTGGTGCGATGGCACCCTGGTACGTGTCATGCTCTGATTGGTGTGTTTCATGCTCTTGCTGGTTGGTGCTTGCTTTGTTTCAATGGCACCATCGTACACGCTGGCTGTGACACAAGCAGCGATACAATATTACTATGTTTGTGTCTCCCTTTCACTTTGTTTTGTTCCCTATTGCAGACAAGTTCATGCAGAAATGGGGATTGCGGCTACATGACAAGCACCGGAGCAGCATTGAGAAGCGAGTGAAGGAGCTCTCTCAAGCTGTCAACAACATTTACGCATCGCTCAAGTGACCGGTCTGGACGCGTGTTGCACAATTAACACCGATTTAGATATTCCATCAATTTTGTGTATACTTCATGGGGGAATCAAGTCAGTCAAGATACCTTCAGCCGAATACATTCACCTTCAGGATGGAATAAATTATTCAACATACAGCTCCATACCTCTGCGTGTAGAGAGTTTAATCAATTTCTAATATTGAGCCCCTCTGACTTAAAGCCAGGGTCTCAAGTAAGCTAGGTTACCTAGTTATTGCAGACGAAGTTCTCTCTGGTTGGGTTGAAAAATCAGCTTGTGACACACCCCGTCATTGAACCAGAAGCGATTGCACAACACTTTTGGGTACTTGAGACTTTCGATGATTGGGAGCATTTTAGGTTTGGCTCCGAGCCAAGTTTCCAAGCCTAGAAGGTTTGGGTACACCCAGCGATTTGAGTTCGCTTCGCACCCCTCGTTTCAACCCACTTCAAACTTTCAAATTCGCTAACCAATCACAGCCAAACTTTCACCATCAACTGCAAAACACTTGTAGTACTTGAGATCCTGGCTTTAACACTCCCATTTAGTCCTAGCTTGCACAGTTCTTCCTTCCAGTCTTCAGGACGCTTTAGGAACTCCTAAATTTCGTAAAGCCGAAACAGCCCGAGTCGCATCCTGTCGCCTAGTGTCGCATCCCGTCGCCATGCCATGGTGCAAGAAGTGGAGCGCAAGGAGCCCGCTTTACCACGCCCCGTCAGTCGCCCGATGAGTCCAGGACCCTCTCATCTCAGTCAGGCTAAGGACTAGACCACGTCGTCGCATTGTATCACGTCCGTCGCATGATCGTGTCGCATTCGTCGCATCCCGTCGCAACCCGTCGCAGTCCGTCGCGATGGTTCTCGAAGCTCGCCACCACGCGCTCGTGCAATCGCTCATGAATCGCGGGCCGGCCAAGGAGGTTCAGGCGAAGAAGCTCCATCGCGACATCTGGGCCTCCGTCGCCGGCGACTCGCAGGCAGGTGATTTGCCACGCAGGTGATTACTCGTCGCATTCCGTCGCAATGGTTTTCTCGAAGCTCGTCAACAGTCGCACATGAATTGCGGGCCCGCCAAGGCTCACGCGAAGAAGCTCCTCCGTCGCCGGCGACTCGCAGGCAGGTGATTGCGCTCATCAACGCCGCCCTCTCGCTGCTGCAGCTCGAACTCCCCCACCCCCCCCCCCCCCCCCCCCTCTTTGTCTGACTCCCACCATACTCTCCCCTCCCCACCCCTCACCCCACTCCCTCTTCCCCATTACTCCCCATTTCACTCACGAGGAAGATTTCCTCGCGTCAATCGCTCGCATCAACGCCACCCGCTCGCTGCTGCAGCTGTCATAACCCCTTTTACCGGCTCTCACACCATACCATACTCTCCCCTCCTCCCCTCCATCTCAACCCCAGGAGGATTTTCTCACTTCCATCGCTCGCATCAACGCCGCCCTCACGCTGCTGCAGCTGGAGCTGCGGGCGGCAGCCGACCAGGCGGACGGCGGGCTTTGGTACGGAGTGGTCAACCGGGCGGCAGACAGCCAGGGGAAGCTGGGCACGACGTATAACCACGAGGAAATACAGTACTTTAAATGCTTGGTCAGTGTTTATTTATGAAGTCGGTGTATATCAAAACTTTCTAGATTGGGTATACAACTGCAAGCATGTTTCTTAAGGGGGCCTCTATGCATCCAACGGCCCAGATTCAAGATGCTTCGCTCAGCATCTCTGTTGAATTCTTATCTAATGCCACCAACCTCCACACCATGCCACCACTCTCCACACTATACCATCACCCTCCACACCACACCATGCCATCAGGTGGAGCACATAGTAACAGCATCCAACGGCTCAGGATGCATCTCCAGCATCGCAGCACTGCACCTCACCCCTGCTCCTAACTCATCCCAGGTATCCCTCTCTCATTTTCTGCCCCCAATTTCTTGTAGCACTAACTACTGCATGTAATGTAGTCAGGTCACCTCAGAATCTTTCCCCTCCTCTGTTCTTTCAATCTTCAAACATTTTGCTTGGTATCCACCCCTCTCCACCTCTTCCCCCACTCATTTTCTCCCACCTTCCCCGATGTGCTCCATCACTTTTCCACCATTATTTTTTCACAATCCCTCACCCTTCCCATACAGCCCAACCCAACTCAAGACCCCCTCTCCCCATCATCCTCGCAACCTCCCCTCTCCCCGCCTGCTGCCCGCACGCACACCCTCTCACTAACTGACAAAGAACGACTGATCGCTGACCTGGCGGATAACCATTGGCTCAGCATCTCAAGCGATTCAAGAGATGGCAGTAGTGGTGGCGATGCGAGGGGTGGTGGTAGTGATGGCGGCAGCAGCGGCGGCGGTGGCGGTGGTAGTGGTGGTGGGAGGAGGGGGGTGCAAGGGAGTGTGGGGCTGGGGGTGAGAACGTATCTGGAACTACAGCAGTATCTGAAGAGCATTGAAGGGGTGGCGGTGTGCGATGTGTGCCACGACGCTGCTGTGAAGGTGAGTAGTGTTCATGTGACTGGCTGAATTGCTGTTCATTGTGATGATCAACTTGAAGGGGTGGCGGTATGTGACGTGTGCGACAATGCTGCTGTGAAAGTGAGTGGTGTGGCAATAGTAATAGTGGTGGGTGGGAGAGGGGGTGCAACGGAGTGTGGGTCTGGGGTAAGTGCGATGGCACCCCTTTTGAGGCACCTCAAAAGCTTCTGCGCTTATCCCCTTCTCCCTCTTTCACATCTCTCTCTCCCTCGCTCCAGGCTGTATGCTGTGCGTCCCCGAGCTGTGAATACCGCCTGCACCAGTACTGCCTGCTTTGCACTGCCTGCTTTGCACTGCCTGCTTTGCACTGCCTGCTTTGCACTGCCTTCTGTGCTAATCCCTGTTTTCCTCTCTTCACATCCCTCTGCTTCCCCCTCCAGGCTGTGTGCTGTGCGTCCCCGGGCTGTGAATACCGCCTGCACCAGTACTGCCTGCCCGCCAAGTTCCATCGAGTCAAGGTGGGTCAACGCAAGTCAACGGGAGGTCGAGGTGAGTTCATGGGAAATCCGGGGTGCGCCAGTACTGCCTACCCGCCAAGTTCCACCGAGTCAAGGTGAGTCAACGGGAGTGAATGGGGGGTCATTGGATAGAATGAATTGATATGAGTGCCCCCAGTGCTGTTTGCCCTGGCCCTCCAGTGACAAGTGTGCTGGTTATTTCTCGGAACCATCTCCTTTTCTCCCCATTCATTTTTCCATACCTCTGCCCATTAAGCTTCTCTTCCTTCCCACTCCTCTTCCCACCAGAATCCGAAGTGCCCCCAGTGCGATACACCCTGGCCTTCCAGTGACGACGAGCCTACACCACCCAGGCAATCCCAAGCAGCTGGTCAAGGGGGGAATGATAGGAGGCGGCGGGCAGGGAAACGGACAGTGGGAGAGGGGGCGAGGGAAGAGGAGAGGGAGGAGGAGGAGGATAGGGGAGACAGAGAGAGAGGGGCAGAGGGGGGAGAAGGGGGAGGGGAGGAAGAGGAGGAGCGGAGGGGGACAAGTAGGGGGAAACGGGGCTTGCAGAAGAGAGCAAGAGAGAAGAGGAAAGTGAGAGGACGAGTGATGGAAGAAGAGGAGGAAGAGGAGGGAGAAGAGGGAGAGGAGGAAGAGGGAGAAGAGGAGGGAGAGGAGAGAGAAGAGGGAGAGGAGAGAGACGAAGAGGGAGGGGAAGAGGTAGAGGAGGTAGGGGAAGAGGAGGAAGAAAGGGATGTGAGGCCGGTTCGGGCAGGTCGAGTGAGAGAGGCTGAGCATGTGAGAAGAAGGACGAGGAGAAGATAGGCAGCAAGAGGACTAAGTGCTGGGCTGATAAAAGCCCTTAGGATCGTTTTCAAGGACTTAAGCTCAGAGTGATGTATTGGCGGAAGCGTCTTTAATGAAGGCTGATTGAACCACCTTGCACTGGTATGTGAGAACAAGATAAGTTGATTATAGCATAGAGATACAAGGCTTTGATAGGATTACAGAGAATATGAAAGTTTTTACTAACTGCAACTGTAACTGCTAATGCGGTTCGATACAGCGACGACTCGGGTAACTGCTAAGTAGCGAGTCAGTATTTGTCCTTGCTGTCGTGCTGCCTTTGTCGAGTCAAAGGTTGCTGACTTTTGACCTTCGCTTCAACCTCCTGCTGTTGTCGCCTTGTCAACCGCTTCGTTGTAGCTTGGTTGACTCGGTGTTGCTTCGTTGTGAATCTGCTTCGTTCTTGTTATAGCACTCGACACATCAGAAGCGCGAACTAAATGTTTCCAACACCCCCCTTCGCTTCTGGAGTGTCGTTGCCTTCGTTGCTGGTGACGTGGCCCTGTCCAGTCAGCAGCATGCAGTACTCGAACTTCTGCTTTCCAAGTTTCTTGGTCAAGTAATCTGCTGCCATCTCGGACGTGGGGCAGTAGGATAGCTCGAGTCCCCCTTTCTTGATCTCGTCTTTCACGAAGAAGTATCGCAGGGCAGTGTGCTTCGTTCGGTTCGCGAACCCGTACTTGTTCGCTATGCGAATTGCCGACTGGTTGTCGCAGAAGAGGGAGAAGGTGGGTAATTGGGCCAGCTTTGCTTCTTCCAGTAGTTCGCAAAGGTACAGTCCTTCCTTGGTGGCTGAGCAGAGTGCAATATATTCTGCTTCAGCTGAAGAAAGAGCAATTAGCTCTTGCTTGCTCGACTGCCACGAGATACGGTAGGGCCGACGGGCTCAAGTCGGTAGATGTAGCCGGTGCGCGATCGTCTGTTCTCGGAGTCGCCTGCGTGGTCGGCATCCACATAGCTGATCAGTTTCGGAGTCGTGGTTGCAGTTTTGTGGTAGGTTAGGCCGATTGCCGGTATGCTGACGAGGTAGTGTAGTGCGCGATCGAGTTCCGCCATGTGCTCAGCTTTGGGTCTCTTGAGGTAGGTCGCTAGTTGGCTCGCCGAGTACGACAGGTCCGGTCGGCAGGTGACGGCTGCGAAGAGCAAGCATCCCAATTTTCGCTGGTAGTCCCGTAGGCCGGCAGGTCCGAGCAGATTGGATTCTCCTTGGTGATTTCCCTTGGTGTAGCGATAAGGCGTGGAGATGGCGGCTGGAGTTAGTCCGAAGCGTTTTGCGATGGTGACGGCGTATTTTGCGGCGCTGAGGTAGATCGCGTTCTCTCCGTCGAGGATGTTGAGTCCCAGGTATTGAGTTACAGTGGAGGAGACCGTGACTGTGAGATCCTGCTGCAGCTCCCTTTCGAACCAGGTGGTGATGCCGTCGGTGGAACCTATGTAAAGCAGATTGTCTACATAGACGATGAGCAGGATGTACTCTTCAGCCTTTGTGAGTCTGTACATTCCCTGATCGTGTGGCAGTTGCTAAAAGCCGATGTGGATTAATCGGGCGTGCAGGTACTGCTGCCACAGTCGTGGGGCTTGCTTGATGCCGTACCGTGACTTCAGTAGCTGACAGACTTGATTAGGGTCTGTGACGGATCAGTGCGGCTGTTCGATGAAAATTTCTGCATCGACGGGAGCGTAGAGGAACGCATTGGCCACGTCGATTTGTCGGAGCTTCTTCCGCTTCATGGCGGCTATCGCGAGAAGGATTCGCAGCGAGGTATGTCGGCTCACCGACGCAAAAGTTTCGGTGAAGTCCCGTCCGTGCTCTTGGTCGAAACCGCGCACGACCCATCGTGCTTTGAATTTGTCGATTGTTCCGTCTGCCTTTGTTTTTACGCGGAAGACCCACTTTCCCGTGAGTATGGTCTTGTTGCGTGCTACTCCGATGGGTACTATGTTCCAGGTGTTTCTGTCTTCAAGCGCCTTTAACTCCCTGTCCATGGCTTCGCGCCATTTTTCCCTGTGCTCCCCCCCCAGAGCCTGCTGCACTGTAGTAGGCTCTCGCGGCGGCGATGCTCCATGGACTGCGGTGACGAGGCCGAGAATTTGGAGCCCACTCTGTGTGCGTCGGGGGAGACTTCGATCCTCGGGATAGACTGCTTTGTCTCCTGCTTCTGGGTCAGGTATGAAATTGGGGGCTATGCGTTCTGAGACATTTGTGTTGACCGGCCGGGGTGTAACGTAACCGTTGTCGGCGAAGACGTAGTGGACTTCGGCGTTGACACTTTCGCGAGGGTTGTCATCATCCATCGGAATGGGTACCGAGAAGTAGGGAAGAGGTCCGGCTTCCTCCGATGCTCCGTCCACGTTTTGCTCATCCCAGTCAGCCTCATCTGCTGGCGAGGCGAAGGCTCGGTTGCCACGGAAGCCGCCCGTGAGGCCTCGTTCTGCTGCCAGGTTGTCCAGGTACGTTTGGAGAGTGGGTCGTTCGTAGAAGATCACGTCACGTGTTGCTACTGTTTCCTTCGAGTTGACGTCAAATATTTTCCATGCGTTGTAATGTTTTTCGATGCCCAGGTGTAGCCCCCACTATGCGCGTTGTGAGAATCAGCCGGCTCGTGCAGTGTGGGGTCGGTATTGTACCATGCAGCCAAAAACCCGTAACATTTTTGTGTTGCCCAATTTTCCTGTCCACAGCAGATGCGGTGATGCGTTGTTCGGAAGCAAGGACGACGAAAGTAAGTTATGTAGCAGTGCATCGTGGTCCATCGCCTCGGGCCACTGATGGTTGGGTAGTCGCATGCCACGTAGCAGCTTGCGCATGGTGTTCTGGAGGGTCCTGTTCATCCTTTCTGCGACACCTTGCTGTTGATGGGCGTAGGGAAGAGAGATGAGTCGCTTGAAGCCTCTCTCCGCCAGATATTACTTGAACCTCTGTGACTGGTATTCTCCTCCCCCGTCTGACTGAAAACTCTTTAGTTTCACTCCGGATTCCCTTTCCGCTACTGGGAGCCATGCGACGAAGGCTTCGAAGGCCATGTCGCGACTTGGTAGGTTGAGGTGCCAGACGTTTCTGGTCGCAGCGTCGATGAATGTTATCACATAGTTGTAAGCTCCTTGTTCGCTTTCGCAGGTGTACAGTATGTCGCTGTAGACCTTCTCCAGTGGTGCGTAGGCTGGCGCGCTCGGGTTGTGGCAAGAAACGAATGGTTGATGGGGTAAGTCGGCTTCGGGGCAAGTAAAGCAGGTTCCACGGACTCGTTGAAGTTCTCTGCCGTCTGGTAAGAGTAGCGAGTCCTTGTCGAGAACTCTTGCTCTTATCGTGTTGTTCAGTGTCGTGTTGCTGGGATGTCCTAACCTTTGATGCCACTGTGATTCGTCGGCGCGATGTCCATGTGAACGTCTGTACAGGTCGGAGTTGGAGTAAAAGCCTGCGATGACGTTGGTGCTTCTGTGGACGTCGCGTGGAGTGGGAGTCAGCTGTTGAGCGGGAGTCGGTGTGGTGTCGTCAATGGGAGGTGGTGCTGATGAAGGGCCAGCGATTGGTGCTGGTGCTGTTGTCTCTGTTGTTGCTTATGCTTCTACGGATGTTGCTGCCGCTGTTGTTGTCTCTACTTCTGCCGATGTTGCTGCTACTTCTGTTGTCTGTTGTATCACTGCTAACGCCCTTGTCCGTTCTGCTTCAGGTATGGTGTGCGAGTTCCAAAAACCTTCGGGACTGAAGTCGGGGTCGAGATCCGACGGGTGCGTCCAAGTGGTGAAGTTGACTATTAAGTCGCAGTCGGCAGTACCTTGATATGGGACGAAGTCGAGGACGAAGACGTTATTCTACATAATCGCCTTTCCGATGTAAAGTCCGCCCTTCCCGTGGTAGAGCTTGAACTCCTGAGTGGTGTTGTCAAATTCGAGGTGAACTCCTTTTGCCATGAGCTGGATTACGCTGAGCAAGTTGTAGCCGAGTCCTTCTGCAATCAGGACCTTTGACATCTGCAGGATGACGTTAGTTTCGTGGGACTGAAGTTGAACCACTCCTTGTCGTCGTATGTGCAGGTTCTGGTTGTTGGCGACGGTTATCACGACTTCCCGGTTGATACGTTGTTCCCGTTGAACAAAGCGATTTGAAGAGCACATGTGTTGTCCGCAGCAGCTGTCTAAGAACCAAGTATCTTGGCCGGACGGCTCGCTCTGAGCGATGGCCGCGTATGACGGATTTGGTTCCAGCGATTCGCGACGAGGTGGGCGTTCATCGAGCAATTCTTCTGGTGAGTAAGTCGGTGGTGAACTGGTGATGCAGGAGTCCGTTCTTGTCATGCAGCTTATGATGTTTCTTGTTCCTCGTGCAGGTTGTGACGTTGACGTTGAAGACAGCGTCTGGTTGGAAGGATGTGGCTGTGTGGAGGCCAACTGACTACTTGGAGGTCAAAGTTGACGTGGTGGCGGCGTTGATTGCTGTTGATTCGGGCAGTGAACAAGAGAGTGTCCTGACGTTTGACAGAGGTGACAGAACGGTGGTACGTATCGTCGTGCTTGATGCTCGTGTTGTCGGTTGTTGTTGTTGCGCTGCTGAGTGTGAAAGGCAAACTCTGGTACTGATGCCCTTTCCTTGTGTCGTTCTTTGTGCAGGTCCATATCTTGTTGTTCAGCATGAATTTCTGCGCAGAGGTTTGCTTCGGAGAGTCTTCCGTGGGCCCGGAGAATGGCCCGGGTGGAGTGCCATTGAGGACCGAGGCCTGCGAGGACGACGGTGATGAAGGCGTCTTCGGATAGTGCCCCACCGCAACGAAGGAGTCTGTCACGTAGACCACGGCAGTGACTGATAAGCCATTCCCTTTTCACCGAGTTGCATTTGAACTGTTGTCAATTGGGCCATGAGACGACTCTGATTTACGTTGTCGTTTGCTTGATACAAGTTCTTCATCTGGTTGTACGCGAGTTCAGCGGAGTTACCGTACCCGCGATAAGTTCGAATGTTCTGCTGTTCACTTGCCGAGATG